AAGACTTGTGAATGAACAATGACAAAAATCATGTGTTGCATCACTTTCAAAATTTTTCACCAAATTTATCTTCTTTTTATTCAACAATCCCAATGAATCAATAACCTTCATCTATCAATCGGATCATTATGAATAATGTTTTCAACATTGAATTCTAAATTATTGTCATGACTGTCTGAACATTCATTTTTTGAAATCAAATAATGGGTATGAAAAAAGATATGATAAGGTCAAAGTATATAATAGTGATTTACACAAAAAAAATATCATGAAAATGTATCAAATCTGTCACTTTTATTAAAATGATCAAAAATAAGATGAAATTCAAGTACAATAAAAGAAGTCCATCATTCCAAAAAAATCCTAAAATGATAAGCAATTTTAATCAACCTTTTCAAATTTTTCTCAAAATTATGTCCTTAGGTGATTAGGCAAAGAGCATTTATAGACATTCAACTCTCTTGACTTGTTGAAACTCAACGAGCCTACTTGGATCAAACTTTACATGTTTATATGGAATGACCAACATTCTCATTATGGTAGTCACATGTGGCATTAACATTATACCATTTGGGATAAAGTGATTTCAATAGCTCCAAAAGGACTGAGGATACCAGGTCATTCTTGACCAATTCTAAAAATAGCTCAGTATAGATTATGGGAATATGATCAATATGAGCTCTCTCTCGGTTGCCCTAAATCTTCTCAAATTGTTCGTTTGATTGTAATGCCTTGAAACTGGCATATTATTGACTGTTAGGTAGTAATCAAGATTAATGTATGATGGATATAAAGCATAGCTTCTGAATTATTACCCCTCAAAACTTATCGATTTGGCTTCAGCTTTTTCTTTCTTAAGCATGCCATATTTTATGGCATAACTAGCCTCTCTTTCTTTAAGTTTGTCACATTTAATGAAATTTTTAATAATCCCCCTTGAGATTACCATGTCAAAAAAGTTTTTTATTACGTTCCCTGTTATTTTCTCATAATAAGGTACTTTCATGGTGCTAACGAACAATACTGTCATTTATTTCTTAGTCAGAAGTGGTTGAACTTAAGCGGCCATATCCTTTCATTGTTGGGCATATTCTTTAAAAGACTTTGTTGCCTTATTCTTTATGCTTTGTAAAGAAAAAAAATTAGGAGCTAAGTCTATAATGTGATAGTATTGATTAATAAATACTCGAGTAAGCTCCCTCCAAGAGCAAATGCAAGTTCGATCTAAAAAACATACTATTTTATAGTTGAACTAGTAAGATTATCTTGAAACACATGCATTAATAGCTTTTCATCATTTGTGTAAGCAATCATTTTTCTACAATACATAGTGACATGTGTGATCGAGCACTTAGTACCATTGTACTTTTTGAACTTTGAAACTTTAAACTTTGGTGGCATTACAACATTTAGGATCAAGCAAAGGTCAGTTGTATCTATAGAGCCATAAAAGTATTTATCTTCAATGGCTCATAATCTTTCCTCTAGTAAGTTCATCTTAAGTTTGGACTTGAAGTCTTCTAAACTTTCAACAAGCTTCGATTCTAGCTTTTTATTTTTCTTGAGATCATCTAAGTTGGGGATCGAGATTGACTCCACTGCCTTTTCAATAAAGATAGGATTAGCAAAGTTTTGAAATTATCCCTAAGTTGGTACGGATGGCCTTCCTATGTAAGTGTATATTGAAGGAAATGTGAACTATTATGGTGATGTACCTTGAATGGATTGGGCTTGATATGGGTTGTAGCCAAGAAGATACAAAGGATCAACAACATTCGACAATAGATAGTTTTTAAGTCTAGCCCCTTCTTCTACAGTCTTCCCTTTGTTCAACTTACTTAATTCTTCTAAAATTTTGCTCAATTCTTTTTTGAGCTCTTTTTAGGCCCTCTCTAACTTTTCAATGCAGCTCGCATTATCTTGCTCTATTCCTTTGGCTTGGGCTCAAATGTTATACTAGTGGTGAGTTAGTTAAGTTATCCTTGAACTTTGCTATACCAAAACTAGGGTGCATATTGAGAGTGATATTTATGGAACCATCCAATTATGTATAAAATTAAATACAAAAATGCATAACTGTAATAAAGAGGATTTAATAATATGAATACATGTATATACAATAAAAGAAAAGGGGTTAGTAAACATGATAGATACAAAAAATATATATAATATATATAAAAAAATGAAAAAGGTTGGTATGAAAATAATATATACAAAGAAAATATATAAATTTACAAGTAAAATAAATATCCCATCATATATCCTATTTAGGATTTTCTAACACAAGGGGAGGTATGGCTCTAACTTGAGTTCGGATCATTAAGGTTTACTTATATGCTAGGTTCAAAGGTTTGATAATCTAAAAGCTTTCAAATTGTTCCTTACATCGTTGTCCATTATGAACCAGTAAGGTATCCCAATCCTCACCCATTATAGGCTAAAACGAAAAGGATTAAATTTGAGTAAGAGTTTTTTGCTAGCCCATGTAGAAACATGAAATCTCACGGAGGCATAAGTACTTAACTCCCTCTTAAAGGATAGAACTCGGGTGTAGAGCTTATGTTATGCATATACAAATGAATGATAGATATATGAAAATGAATAAATAAATAAAATACAAACAAGGAAAGAAAGAAAAAAATCTCAAATTTATTAGATTAGGCTTCAATAACAAGAAATCATTTACTAGCTTAACTCTTGATTTCTCCAGTAGAGTCACCAAACTGTCATAACGTATAGATCCATGGACCTATCACTAGATAATTTTAGGGAGTTGCCACAAATCTTTTTTATCAAGGTATGATTGGCTACCTAATTGAATTTGTTCTATTTAAAAAAGAGTCTCAAAATTGACTTAAGTATCTTTAAATGATAGTTTTACTCCATGAATTAGATTTGGGATTACGATTACGTATGAGGAAGGTTGTAGCACCCTCACAATGCCTATCCAAAAATGGTACCAGTTTGATTTCAAATTATCCAAGCCTTAATCATATTTATAATTTACCAAAATATTTAATATTGAAAATTGATCTTAAAATTACTCTAATAGTTTGGTAGCAATTTAAGATAATTCTCTCACTTTAGGAGTATTCATGAAAATTAGTGTCCTACTCTGAAGAAGCTCTGTCGTTGGATTTATTAATATATTTTTATTCAAGAAAATAATTAGTAAAATCTTTCAATAATTTGATAAGATTTATTTTGATGCAGATTTTCCAATAATTTGGTGAGATTTTTTTGTAGATTTATTTTTAAAAAATGTATTAAATCTACCAATAGTTTGGTAAGATTTAATTTAAGATACAAATCCTCTAACAGTTTGGTAAAATCAAAAAAAATTATTTTATTAGTAATAAATTTTTATAAAAATTTATTTATGAAATTTTTCAATAGTTTGGTAAAATTCATAAAAGTTCAAATTCATGAAAAATTCTCCAATAGTTTGGTAGGATTTATGAATTTATTTTAAAAGTAATTTTTTATAAAATAAATAAATAAATAAAATTCATAAAGGCAATTAACATAATAATTGAAGATCAAAAATAGTAATAGTAATAGTAGTAGTAGTAATAATAGTAATAATAATAATAATAGGTAAAATTAAAAAAATCTTAAATAAATAAAATAAATAAAAAAAAACAAAAAAAATGAAAAAAAAAAAAAGAAAACCTACGATAGGGTCGAGTCTAGAGGCAAGCAGCCACGTGAGTCACAAGTAGGTTGAACGCGGGTTAAAGCTTTTTTCAAAACGACGTCATTTTGGACAGGTATAAAAGGCAAGGTCCTGTGTTTTTTTTTTTAGACCTGCCTCAACCCCCTCTCTCTAATTGGAGTTTTCTTTGGCTTCTCTCTAGACGTTCAACAGAAAATTCAACTGGCCAAGAACATCGATCAGATTTCCCAATTTTCAATATCAAAAAATTCAACCAGCTATCAAAATCTTCAAAGTTTTCTAGAAATAGTGATAAACCCAGAATCTGGCCACCTTAATCACCCTCCGATCATCGTGACCTTGGCCAAAAAATTGAAACTTCAACCGTAAAATCTCATAAAAACCCCAGAAATTCAAACTCCAACTCAAAAGTTTTTAAAAAATTAAAATTTCTTAGAATTCATCCAAAACTTCAACCAATTCCAATAAATTTCTAGAAGCCCAATAATTCAAATCCCAGAAACCCAAACTATTCTCAATAGTGGTAAGAGCCCAAACCCAAATAGATTAAAAAAAATCACCTCTATTTCCCCCGTGAATTTGCATTCAATTTATAGATGATTTTAGCAATAATTTTAGGGTTTTAATAGATTTAATCCAAGCTTGAATCTTAGGATTTAGTCTGCTTGATTTGGGTGATTGATCGTAGGATTTAATCTCATTTGATTTGGCTCCTAATTTTACGCAAATAGATCCCAAAACACTTTTTGCCCGATTCCAAAAAATTGAGTTGATTTCCTTCCTTGTTTATTCCCTCAGTTTCCTTGTTAAAACGTAAATGAAAAAAAAAGAAAAAAAAATTAAAAGTAAAAATAAACAAAATAATAATAATAATAATAATAATAATAATAATATATTACAATAATAGTTGAGCCAAATGGATCGCACCTTATTCAAAAAATTGATTGTATTTCGAACAAAAATTGATGTCTACAGTAGCCTTCCTCCCATGAGGGCAAAAGATAAGTTTCACCCTTTTTTTTATTTGAATCTGTTTTGTTCTAGAATCTGTTTCAGTGATTCTAAAAACCCATGAAAATGGAAGCTAAATATGGCTTATTTGGTTTGGTTATGGATAAGCTGATATATATAGTCCCCATTGTAGATTAACTGTAAGAAGATTAATTTACCATATAAACTATATATTGACTAATACGATTAGTAGGTAATCCTTGCACATACTTTTCCGATATGACAGAAATATATAGTTTGCCATAATTGTTGTAATTGTTTTTCAGCAACTTTCACTTTCCAGTAAAGCAATGCACAACAAAGTCATCGTTTGATCAAAATAATTGTATTAGTGAAATATCAACCTATTTTGGCCAAAGAAAAATTGTTGGCCTTTATTAAACAATGACAAAGACAAGGCAATTAATGCAATTACTAAAAACTTACTTTCAGTAGATGGAACTATAAATATATGAATCACAAGGTTGAGTTTCGAACCTATTGTTGGCGAGTATGATAAGTAATCATGCAATGGTCATTTGGTTAGATATTACTTTATTCTTTACCAAAAATATGAAATTTTTTTTTAATTTTTTTGGGCATAATAAATAACCTAGCCTTAAGGCAATGGACGTTTCTTAGACTCATAAGTCATAACACCTCCAACAATAATTACACAAATACTAAACCACATTTGCACAAAAATCATCTGAAAGACGGGAAGATATTGGCTGCAAATTATTGTGTCTCAGTCATCATCGACGTATATGGTTTCTTGCTGAAAGAGGCCGCCAAAAACCTTCCTCACTTCTGTCTTCTCTGTCTCTTTTGCCTTTGGCTTTGGAACCTTTGGCTTTGGTGCCTCCTTTGGCTTTGGAAAAAGTGATTTTGGATCTTGCTTAACAAGAGCTTTCTTGGACGGTAGCATTTTAGCCTTAGCTTGTCCCCTGACGGTGGCAATCTGCACTTTAGGCTTCTCCTCGTCAGAAGGCTTTTGAACTGCAGTTGCTATCTGGGAACTGAATTTTTTCCAAGAAAATCCTGCGCTTAAGTCTTTTGCTTTAGTTAAGAGGCCTTCCACCGATGCGCCTGCAGCCTCTGCTTTCTCTTGGGCTTCTTCAGCTAGACTAGCAGCCCTGGCTTCTTGCTCTGAAAGCTTTTTCACTTCCTCTTCCAGCTTCTTTGCTGCATCAGCTGCTTCACGAGCTTTCTCAGCGGCTACTTTTGCCTTTTCTTCAGCTTTAGCCTTTGCAAGAGCTTCTGCATAGGCCTTCCTTCTTCCATCCTCGGGAATAGCACTTAAAAGCATGTAACAAAACCAAAATTAGGACATATTTCTTTCCCAAGCAATATAAAATCTTTTATAACTATATAATTCATGAACTAACACTCAAGCTATTTACCTGAAAAGCTCATCTACACCCTTCAATGGAGCTGATGGGCTAGTAAAAACTTCCACAACCTTTCTCATTTAGCAACCGTTAAGATATATGAGTAACAGAAAATGATAATTGAAGCCAAAGAAATAGAACAGAAAGATATAAACTATTATCCAACTTTAAGCAGACTTTGAATACTTGCATTATGCAATATACAAGTGTTTACATATAAATCACTTTTACATGGAGTCAAATCCATGCTCACAATTTATATCTCATCTTAAATTGATCCCTTTTCCACCTAAATAAACATAGACAACTGAGTTATTACCCAGCAAAGAACTCTTTAAAAGGAAGGTTTTAAGAAGCACATGGGAGAATAAATTGTATGTACCTTGTTTTCGGCCACGGTCGTGTTGGAGAAAACATCTGCCACTAGAGATGCTATCTGAGATCTTGCAACCTAACCACAATTTTCAAAAGCATTGAGCAATAAGACAAACAAAAATTATGATCAAGAAAGAAAAAAAAATTACAATGACACAGATAAAACTGCATACATTACATTATATTACATTACTTTGTAGTCGTTTGCACCAATGCTTCCTTCAGCTGACACTACAACAGCATAAGAGCTCTCTGCCAAATAATCTTCTGTCAGGGTTGTCTTTAAGAATGTGTAGCTAACGTCAGTTTCAATTACTTTTTGCAAGAACTCGGGCAGACTCAACGGTTGAGTTTGAGAGAAGAGATTGTTGAAGAATGATGTGATGCCATCAAGCACATTATAAGTTGAAGCACCCGCTGGGTTACCATCATAGACTATTGCCACATGGCCTACACCAGCTAGTTTAGCAGCTTGGATCACTTGTAAGGCGTCTGATGAGGAGACCTCGGAAGTGGGACCATTTTCACCAGGGCCAATTGTGACAACAACTTTGCTGGCATTGCCAATTGCTTTGGCTATTGATTCTGCATCTTGGAAGGTGGATTCTACTGCATTGAGGCGTTTCGATTCTTCATTGGATATGATCTGTAGTGACAAAAGTCTTGGTATGGTCCATCAATTTTGTTTTCAGTATCCTTATAGACAAATGTGGATGAGGTGAGTTGGCAGAATTGACTTTCCGGATGTATACGTTGCAGAAAGTATGTGGGACTTACTTAACATATAATTATTGCATCTCATCTCGTAATGCATATAGTGTTGAAATTTATCTCCAATTGACCCGCTTGACTTCTGACTTGGTTAATAACAGTATCCTATTTCTTCTATTTTTGCAGATTGAGATATACAATTTCCATATGAATTGGAGAATCATCTTGTTTAAGTAACATTTGATCTTCAAAAGATTCCTTAATTTGGTTCTGGTGAAACAAGGAAAGCAACCTTCTAATATTACAATCTTTGGTCTGTTGGAAGATGTTTCACTCCGTGAACAATTCGAATCAGGGATATGCATTTCGGTATAATATAAAACTAGCAAACAGAGATTATGATCCAGGGTTATTGTGGCTTTGGTTTAAGGTTGCTAACCTTGTATTTAGCGGCAAGACGAGCCAGCTCCTGGGCAGTAGCAATCTCTGGCACACCAGCCCGAACAGTGAAACCCTGCCGCAATAGCGCCTGTGCAATGCGAATGCCAGCCTGACCGGTTGCACCCGCAACAAACACAGTGCTTGGATCTTTTCTTCTTAGGTTCCCGAACGATAAACCAGTAGAAGGTTTAGTCACAACTGGGACCAAAGTTTTCACATCAGGTACCTTACCGAAGTTGAAACGGAAAGGACTATAATTACCCGAGTCTTCAGTTTGGCCATCTTCAGGATTGTCTTTAGCTTTTCCTAGCTGAAATGGAGAGAAGGGACCCGACCTTTCGGCAAACACTGTGAATCTTGGGTTCTTGAGGGTTAGCCTAGACTGGGGCGTGGTGGTCAAGATAAATGAATTGGAGGAGAGAGTTGGAGCCATGGATATGTTCACAAAAAAAAAAAATGTCAAACGTCGACCGTCTCCTTCAATTCAAGTAGTTTTCTCTGTATATTACTATTATTTCGTAGCACTCTATGCCTGTGGCTGTGGCAATTGAATTGAGTTTTATCCGGATGAGAGGAGTGATGGAATGATACCAAATAGAAATGAGCCACGTAGTCACAATTTTATCTGCCAGACGAAATCGGACACCAGCCTTTGAGCAGAACACGAGATTTTATATGTTGAACCACCAGAAAGTGACAAATAGGTCAGCATTTTATTTTGCTTCAAGCTTCATCCACTGACTTACAAAGTCGGATAAGCATGGTCCACAGAAATCAGTCGGATAAGCATGGTCCACAGAAATCAATGACGATAGCTTTCTGAGAAAAGAAATCCACATTAATAAAGACTACCCACACAGTTTCAGGTTTAAACTTTAGATCGGTTCCGTTTTGGGACTTTTAAAGTAATGATATTCTATTTCCATGGATGGGAAAAATTACCAAACAGTATCAGGCTCCTGAACAATTATAAAAATGGATTTCAGCGCCAGACAACTAAAGCTTTCGGCCGTCACTGGGAAAACGAGAAATGCATGTTCTGATAATCGACTAATAAACAATTGGCTAATTAACAAAGAAACTGCCTGAAGTAAAGCAAATAATCACCGCTTAAGCCGGCAATAAAACACTTGTGAACAAGAACCAAACCAAACTTTCGCTCATCCATTTAAGGCCATGGAACTAGATGGTTGTTTGGATCAACCTGGTTTTCACGCTGGTCATCTTCCATCTTTCTCTAAAAATGAAAATAAAAAACTAACAGAGAGAAAAGAAGGAAGGGGGTATGGAGAATTACATTTACTTCTCTGCCTAATCCAGAAGTCCTACCCAACAGATTCATCCACGGGAAAATTTTTACAGGGATATTCAGACACCACAACATGGAAAAAAGAAGCAAAAACTTAAAATTCTCTTTCAAACCGTCCAGAAATGATGACAGTACTTAAAATTATATGCACCTGTGAAATCTACTTCACATCAGAAATTTAAACATCCCACGAAAACATTTCACCATCCCGAAATTCAAAAATGCTTAAAGAGGAGAATGGCAGATAGATCATGGACCCTCAAAAGCGCTTTCTATTTCAGCGAAAAGCTACACACCTATCAGGCATGAAATCATAAATACCAGAGAAACATGCACTTCACAAAAGGCTCAACCCACGAAGAACGGTTAAAAAGCACCAATACATGAGGACTGCAGGACTGCCTAATATGACTATTCATGAAAAAGGGTTTTTCATTCTTACCATATTTCAAATAGACACTATATTGCCATCACGTGCCTAACATCCTAGAGCCGACAAGCTCAGATTCGGTTTTAATAACGGTTCCCAAAACATTAGCTGATTACGAATTGCAATAGATCAATATGTTTAAAATTTTAAGAAATATTCTTATACAGAGTTAATTGATATATATATATATATATATATATATGACAATGTCATACGCAGAAACTTTTCGGTTCAAGCTGCCAACCATAGAGGTTAAACCAAACAAAGTGACCATAGATGTTAAACCAAATAGAGTGAGAAAGTAGGTAGCATAAATATACAAAGAGGATTCATCTCCAGACACTAATTTCTTCTCCTAAAGAGCCCATAATAGAATGAAAACTCCGCAACTGAATTGAAGAACAAATTGGAGATCTGCACATGGCCTGCTCAACCAATTCATCTACCAATTGACCATAAAGTGATTGAGAAAACTCATAACAATGCACCAGAAAAGACTTCATGTAATGTTTTATCTAAATAAACAATAAAATATTAGATCCCAAAGATCTCTTTAATTTCAACCCACAGGCATAAGTCAAACTCACATTTCACATCAATTACATCAAATAAAGCCAACCACAAAAAGCAATCAAGGCAACAACATGCCTTCACACCCATGTGACTAAAATTATGAGGAAAACAAATTCCCAATTAAGGGAAGGCAGTTATTACCAGAAATCTAACAGCAAGGTCTGCATAAAGTTGCACTCAAGAGAAAAAGCTCAGGAAATCCTCATTTATCCATTCCTGCTGCCAGCAGTAAACACAAACAATATTAAGCAGTAACCAATATAAAGACAATCCAATTTGAAATATAAAAACTCTTAACATTAAGCATATCTGCTCAACAAAAACAAAGATAAAATAACATATTAATATTTAAAACACAAAAGATTCAGCAACTAATGCCCTTCTTTGCTTTGAGTGATTCAAGTGCCTTCTTCCTTAACTCAATTTCAAGCTTCTTCTGCTCAGTCTCTGCCTCTTCATCATCACTTGGATGACACTTCCTCATTCTTGCATGCTCACTATCTGAATTAGAGTCATCATCTTGACCTTTCATTTTAAGCTTCTCCGCATGCCGTTCTTCTCTTCTGCGACGCCGCTCCTCACGTCGTCTACGCTTCTCCTCCTTTCGTAATCTCTTCTCTTCCTTCCTCCTCCTCCTCTTAGCCTCTTTCCTGTCCTCTATTTCTGAATCATAACTAGAACCATCATCTGAAGCAACTTCATGCCTCTCAGACCTTTTATGCTTTCTCTTTTCCTTATGCTTTGTTCCGCGCTTATCACTTCCTTCAGAACCTGAATCCATTTTATGATTATTATGATCAACCTTTTCATGCAACATCGGTGAAGTTTCCACTTGGTGGTGGTGATTACTGTCCATAATATTTTGATGGGAACGGGTCTTCTCATCAGATCTTTTTCCTTCTCTCAGGTGTGACACACTCTGCTTCTCACCTTGAAATGAGTCCTCAGACAATGCTGGTGATCTCTGTAGATTAGGAGTTCCCAAACGAACCCCTTTCCCAGAAGACCTCTCACTGTGAGGAATAAGCTAGAATAATCAAACCTCTATGAACTGGTATCAAGCAAGAAGAATAGAGTTATAGTTGCAACAAAACAATACCTCTTCATTCCGGGGTCTTTCTTTCTTGATTCCATGTCATCAAACCGACTCAGAGATTCTGTAGACTGACTGCCTGTCAATCTTTCAGGAGTATGAACCTTCCTAGGAGAAACCCTCTGTTTACTGACTGGCAGTGAATGCCTATGGAAAAAATTAAACCAAACTAAATTGAACATTCATCATGCAAGAAGAGCCAACAAAAGCACCAGAATAGCAAGCAAATGATAAATTTGGAAACTAACCTGCTTCTGCTGGCTTCAGTTTTTCTCCCAGTCCCTTGATTGTCTTGCTGGCTTTTTAATTCTCTTGGTTCCCAATCAGGACTCAAACTATCACCATGAGCAATTTGCTCCCTCCTTTGCCTCATAGGACTCTCATGCGGACTTGACAACCTACAGAATCAACAATATGAAAAATAATTGCATAAGCAATGGATACCCAACAAAAAATGCAATGGATTATGATAAAAATAAAACATCCAAAAGCCAAGTTTAATAATTTACCTTCTATCTTCACTGGCAGATCGATTCCTCACATGTGATGGAGATTCAGAGACAGGAGACTTATTTGGGGACGGTGATAAAGCAGGCACTTTAACACCTGCATCCCTCGGATCCATAAGATCTTTATGAGGGACCCTCAAACTAGAGCGCCTACGTCCCACAGGAGACAACTTTCCACGCATTCTGCACCATAGAATTTTGCAATATACATTAAACTCTCCACATATTCAATCTAAGAAGTTTCAAATAAACAAAATCTGTAGGAACAGGATGTCAACATACCGTTGTCTTTCCCCTGGAGAAAGCAAAGGTGATCTTCGATCCTTTGGAGACCTCCTAACTGGTGAAGATCTACGTTGCACAGGAGACAGAGAACTCGATTGATAAGGTGAAGGAGACTTACCATCGGAAGGAGACATTGATCTACGGTTGGAAACCGGTGATCTATGTCGCACAAGAGACGATGACCTATACCGTGGTGTTGATGAAGATCTCCGACGCCGCTGTCGCACAGGAGAGGGTGATCTACGTTGCATAGGAGGCGGTGATCTACGTCGCAAGGATGATGGAGATCTACGGCGCACAGGCAACAAAGATCTACGATGTATAGGTGAAGGAGATCTACGGTACCTACGCGAAGGAGATCTATGATACCTAGGTGAAGGAGATCTATGATGTCGAACAGGAGATGGTGATCTACGATGTCTAATTGATAATGGTGATCTATGACGTCGGATAGGAGAGGGTGATCTATGACGGTGAATCGGTGACCTTGATCTGCGATGCAAGGGTATAGGTGACCTGCGCCGATAAGGAGAATGTAATCTACGTCTTATAGGTGACGGTGATCTACGCAGAGAACGAGATCGAGATCTTCGCCTGGAATAAGGTCTTCGTCTTGCAGGAGAGCGTGATGACCGAGGTGAATTTCTAGACCAAGGAATTAGAGATTGCCTTCTTGGAGAACTGGAGCGCCGCCGAGGCTGAGGTGATCTAGATAAACTCCTAGACTTCCGTTTGTCACTGCATATAAATTCAGATACTAAAATCTCAAAAATCTTACACCAATGGAGCATTTATGAAACAATCAGACCCATATAAAAGAAACATGCAGCCACCCATGTCAAGTATAGAAAGGTAAACAGAAAATTTTCTCCAGGCCCAATGATCTGAATGCATATATTTATGCTATTAGTTGTAAAGTGAGACAAAGTACTCTGAATAGCTTCCTGAATTAGAAAATGATCTGCTGACTGATTGAGAAAGCAATCCTCTGCATATGAAACCCAAGGTATTCAATAAACATGTTTTTCAAATGCAATCCAAGAAATACAATCAAAACTTAGCATTGATTGAATTACTGAGGGGATGGAGAACGGTCAGCTGAATGTGGAGATCTAGAAACTCTGCAAGAGATTAAAACATCATAAGTGTTCTAATTTGAAAATAAAAAGTATACTTTTAAAGAAATTGCAATCAGTTACTTAAATACATATATGATATATTTTATATTGAGAAACAACTTCCCAATAATCCCTCAACTTACTGAGCTTACCCATTTGGAAAGAAAAGGTTCCCAATTAAAACCATTTTAATGCACAACTTCAAACTTCAACAAACATTAAAAAGCTTACAACTTAGGCCTTTCAAATCGGGAAGGAGGGAATGGACCTACCAAATGGAAAAAAAAAAAAGGCTACCTCAAGTTAAATAGCCAAAAACTCAATGGGCCTCCACAAGAAGAAGAAAAACTAGTTAAATTCTTAACCCACGCACCTCTTTAGAGAAAAGCCCCAACCCAACAACAGCAGCAAATTTTCAGGTGATATTGATATTATTTGATAAGTTCAGAAGCCACCTATGATAACAAATAAACATAGAAAAAAATGCATAAAATAAAAGCTGATATAAAAGAAGCTAAACTCCTCACCTCTTCCTTGCGAAACCATTCCTTTGGTCAGCATCTCTCTCATCCTCAAGACGTCCACTTGAACCCTTTGACGGCATATTCTTTGAGGATGGCTCCAACTGCGCATCACCAGCCTTTCTTTCATCCCCGTCGTCCTACAGTAGTTTGAGGTAAAGGACATGAACCCAAATAATTGCAGAAGCTAGCTGAATGCCATAAGAAACACAAACTAAAGTTAAAACCAAAAACCCAACTCTATACATTGCAACTCCAGCATGAAAAACTTAGTATTACCATCTTCCTCAATCTCTCTTGTTCAAGTTCTCTACTTTCCTCATTTTTCTTCTTCTGAATCTCATTTGCTATCCGATCTGACTCCGCCTGCAACCGCCCATGACAACATTGTTAAATGAGAAACAACAGGAGTACTGACAGAAATTCAACCAAACTCCTATAAATATTTTAACCTTTTTCTTCATAGTTTCTTCTTCTTTGGCATCCAAGAACTGTTGGGGAACACCACTTGCATTTCTCTGCGCACTAAGCAGAAGATTCCAAAGCTCTTTCATAAACTTTCCAGTATTCTTCTCCATGAATCCAGTGAGAGATATCTGAACTTGTTTGCCATTAACTTCCTGAATCATAGTCAACAACAAGATGAAGTATAAAAAAAATTGCGCCATTAACAAAACCCCGTATGAACACATGCTTATCAATAAGCCATAAGAATAAATAGACAGCCCACAGTCAAAGAAAAGATAAAATGAATGAGCATCCCGAAGCTAGCAGTATCACTTTCAAGCCAGGTCAAACTATAAATTACACAATCATTAACAGAGAAACAGAAATTATAGAGAGAATACATTATAGTATTACCTTCCCATCAAGAAGACCGTAGATGAAGTTAATAAGAACCTCATCTTCGAAACCGAGAAGCTCAGTTACCCGAGTAGCAATCCAAGGTCTAACAACATCCATCTTAACCTTTGTCATATCAACCTAAAAAAACAACAACAATGTTTTTATTTTTCATAAAATTAAACCCTAACATAGAACATTAACACCACTAATGGCATCGAAATTCCAGCGAAAAAAATAATAATGTATTTAAAAGCGAACCAGATGCTCCAATTCGGGAGCAAATTTCTGCGATTTCAGTAGCTTCGCCTGCTTATTGGAGAATCGAGTGTCTTGATCAGCCGATGTACCCTAAATTTCAAAAAATAAATTAGTCGGAAGCCGATTCAATTGCAAAGATCGAAACAATACACACAAATATATATATATATATATATATATATATATATATACACACAAAAGAATTACCCGGAAAAATCCGCCCGACATTTTCTAGGGTTTGAAGAGTGATTCTTTGCCTGAGATGGCAAATGAGAGAAATATTTTGTTAGAGAGAGCGAGAGACTTATACTTGAATTTTACGCCATGAAAATCAAATGCTAGGGTTTGGGGATTTAATCGAATCGAAAAAATATCTCTGCCGAGACGCGAGAGAGCGAGAGAATATCATGTTGGGTTTGGGTTTGGGTTTGGGTTTGACTGTTTTAGGTTTTGGAATTCGTTTCCTGATGGGAATAGACAATGGGAGCCCTAAATCGGTGAAATTACAAATTTGCCTTGCCTTTAAGACGAGGGAAAAGGAATTGGTTTCTTGGATTGGATTGGGTTGGGTGGAATGCTAAGGCTTGGACTTAGTGTTATTTGGGCCCAACAATTATCCGAATTCACTTTTTCGATATAAAATAAATGTTTTTGGCAAAAAATTAGAAAAAAAAACCTAAAATTTACACTTTTATTTAGATAAATAAATTCATATATTTTTATTATACACAAATAAATCCTTAATCGTTAGTTTATATTCAAATAAAACCTCAACTTTTAATTTGTAACTAAATTAGTCTTAGCATAAATCAATTTTTAATTTAATATCGAAGTTTATTTATATACAAATGAAATAATAAAATATAATAAAAATATAAGAATTTATTTAAAAAATAATATATTTAGGAATTACTTTAATATTTTAGTCATGTGCTATACTTTAAAACAAAGGCTAATAGTAAGAACTATCATAACTTGCAAATAGCATTGCTTGAATTAATGGTGAACAAATGAAGATTAAGTAATGGTTTTTGTCTAAAAGCGATAAAACCTTAATTTGTTGGGAGAGTATTATCACCATTATTAGTAAATAAACATAAAGAATTTATTCACATTTACATATAAGTCTAATTTTGTAAGTAATTTTTTTTTTGTTGTCAATTGGGTGAAGATGGTTTTCTTTTTCCAATAGAAGAGCATGATTAGAGCAAAAAAAAAAAAAATGTAAACCCTAATAATAGAACTCGAAATTAAGATCATTGAGAGTTGCATTGAGTTGTAAGTAACCAAGTCTCAAAATACCATTTTTTTTCTTGCCAAAGACTCAAAATACTAAAGGTACATCAACTTGTTATATTGGAACCGGTATACATAAAAATATTTTTTATTATTATTTATTTAATTTTATAGTTTTAAATATTATATTAATAAAGTTATTATTTAATATTTTAATTTAAGATATTAACTTAATAAAAATATTATAATTTTTATATATTTAACTGTAATTTATATTAAAAAAATAAATATTTTTAAAATATTATATTAAAAAAATTATTAAATTAATTTCAGATTACATTATATTAGTTACAATTTTATACAAGTGTAGATCAAATTTAATTGGATATGAAAAAATAATATTTCAATTTTAAGATCAATTATAAATTTTATAAAATCAAATCAAAGTCGAAACGAACAAAAATCCATTACACTCCACCCGATGCTATCCTTACGCCAAATTGTCATTTAGGGAAAATATATTTGTGACTTTATATTATTTTAATGGATATTGAGCAATAAATTTTTTATATCGACAAAAATAATTCATTTAATAAACATATTTTAATCGAAAATGTTTGTTATTATTTACTAATTTAATTTAAATGATTTGCTCAATCATTTTAAAAGATGAATTAACAAAATTCAATCTCTAATTCTTGTAATTTTTTTCAATTCTTTTTAACTTTACCTTTTGTATAAAAAAAAATCAAACTTATTTGCATTCAAGTTCTTTTTTAATTACAAAATAAAAATAAATATTACTCTCTCTCCCATATAAACACACACTCAAAAATAAAATAAAATAAAAATTGCCAATGAAGATTAAGGATGAGAGGACACATTTGTATTTCTCTAGAAGATGTTAATTTCAGGAAAGAAGGACCGTAAAAGGTAGAATTTTAATTTTAGGAAAGAAGGACCATAAAAGGTAAAAATTACAGCAGATGCTAAATTTGGAGAATCAGCACCGTTCTTTCCAAATGGGACCCATTATCAAACAAATCTGACGTGGCTTAGATCAAACTCAGCTGTCCTCTGCTCCCTCCATAATAAAAATAAACCCCAAAAACATAATATTGAAAAAAAAAAAAATCCTAGAAAAAGCGCATTAGCTAAATCACTCCTCCGTCGACGACTGGATGAGCTCTTCAGATTACGCCACGTGGATTCACTCTTTATAATCGGATGCAAACCTATTTATATTCCACTCTTTATCCGACTTTTCTCGTCCGCCCCTCTTTCTTCAGTTACGATTCTCCTAAGCCCTAGACTCCCTTCTCTAATTTCATCCAATCGATCAAATTTTAGGACTTCGCTTCCCATGCTTCTCTCCTTGTTCTCCTAAAATTTTTCGCGAGAAAAAAAAGAATCCGAGAATTATTTCTTTGTTTGGAAGAAAAGAAAAAGAAGAATCCGAGGAGGAAGGGGAGCTTGATAGAAGATTCGAGAAAAAATGGCCTCGTCGACGACGAGCACGGTGTACATCCATGTCATCGAAGATGTCATCAGCAAGGTTCGCGATGAGTTCATCAACAACGGTGGACCAGGCGAAACTGTCCTCAACGAACTCCAAGGAGTAAAACTACTCTTTTCATTTCCCTTTTTATTCGATTTTTTAAAAAAATTTTAGGGTTTGATTTCGTTATTTTAGAAACGAAAAAAACTTTCTTTTTGGGGATTTGGATTTGATCTGATTGAAGCATTAGGGTTTTTGATAAATGTTATCGAAATGAACGTATCTAGTTAAATTGATTGCTTTGGGATGTTGGATTTAGATTTGGGAAATGAAGATGATGCAAGCGGGAGTGATAAGCGGTCTGACAGAGAGGTCTTCCGGCCAGAAACAGCCCACACTCGGTGGCCCAATTACTCCTGTGCACGATCTTAATGTTCCTTATGAAGGAAATGAGGAGTACGAAACTCCTACAGCTGATATGCTTTTCCCTCCGGTAATGAGTTCTGTTTTGAGTGCTTTTATGAATGCAAATTGTGGTTGATAGTTTTGTTTTTGTGGTATTTTGATGTGGGGTTTTTAATTGTGTAGACTCCGTTGCAAACACCTGTTCCTACACCATTGGCGGGAGCTGCAGATGGTTCTATGTATAACATCCCTACTGGAAGTAGTGATTATCCTACCCCTGTGAATGATAGCGGCGGTAATACTGATGTAAAAGGTGGAAGGCCAAGCCCTTACATGGTAAGCAATGCTCTGTTAGTGCCACTTTCCTTTAGGAAACATTGTGTTACAGTTGTAATTTTCTGCTTGCCACTGAAAGGAAAAAGTAGCTTTGTTGGGTTGTTGTAGATTTATTGCTGATATATTATTTTTGTTTTTCCTTCTGCAGCAATCTCCTTCTCCATGGTCGAACCAAAGAACCCCACTAAGTGTTGATGTTAATGTCGGTAAGTATGACGTCAAAAGAGAAATCAGTTCTAACCCACTATGATTTTTTGTTAATAATGATAAATGCTATTTTCTTGTAGCTTATGTGGAAGGGCGGGATGAGGTGGACAGAGGAACCTCTCATCAACCCCTGACACAGGTAACTCCTATTATGAGTAACATTACAACTGCATAATGATGTCTGGTATTCTCTGGTTTGAGGAGAACTCATGGGTAATGGAAAAAGGGGTTCATATCCCAAAGGTTTAAATTGAATCTTTTGGGAAATATTTCCCTCAATAATCCTTGTTTCCATGTCAAAATGAACTGTTATCACTTAAGTTGGTGATTAATATTGGAGAAAATTTCAGGACTTCTTTATGATGTCTTCTGGAAAGAGAAAACGTGAGGATTTTGCTAAACAATATCCCAATGGTGGATATAATATACCCCAACAAGATGGAGCTGGAGATTCTACATCTGAAGTTGCAAAGGCAGAGGTTAGTTGTTTCCCATCTAGCATATGCGTTCATTTGACATTGTTGTGTTACTGCTATCCTGGTTAGAAATCTTATATGGATGTGTGTGGCGCTGGTAGATCTCAAATCTATCTCCATTTGTATGTGGATCAGGGATTTTCCTATCTTACCCAAAAACTTATAGAATCCTTATTTTCTTTTTAATTTTCTTTGGGGCAAGGAAAAGGATTCTTGAATTGTTGTTGCTGCAGCCTAATCGAAAAATATAATAGTAATTCAAGCCTTTTGACTTATATGAAACTTGGAATTACTTTAATTACATGCATTCGAAGACCCAAGATCCATTGCCTGTTATCATTTGCTAAGGGCTTTATGCAGGTGAGAGCTTTCCTGGTTATCAATCTAACATCACTTGATAAACCATTGACAGATGGAAAGAAATCTGTTTTATCTGGTTAAAACAGTAATATTGACATGAGAATTGAAAGATTAACCTAATTCATTTGTAGTCCTCATTGTTCTCCTGTAGTCCTTTGTGATGGCTTCATGTTCTTTTGATCAAATACTGATTATTTCGTATTTGGTAGGGGACTAGGACTAGTTTCTTCTATATAAATGGAGAATAAAGGAGTGATAAGTTGATTACTATTGCTTGACACAGATCAAGGTCTTCCCTGAAGTTCTGTTTCTGGACTGTATTAGAGGTATGACAGTCTTCTGTCTAGGTGCAGGTTTTAGGTTAGCTGTCATTAAGTGTTTTATGAATCAGGAAAGAATCTTCTCAAGGGTTAAAACGATGTGTTGTTGAGTATATTTTGAGCTAACAAGAGAATGTTATCACATGTTAAAGCTGTTGGCAGACAGTACGTGACACTCGTTGGGATCAGTCTGATAAGATGAGGTTGCTCAACTCCACTTACTAGTGAAATTGCTGCTGCAATTTAGTGACTGAGTGTCTGCTTATTCATTTCTCTGTCAACTCCATGAATATATCATTGGTTACTGGCTACTGCAGTCTTGCAAGTTGTCCTTTTGTGGATACTGTTTCCTTTGGAGAGGGATTCCCAGTATGAAACATCTGTAATCTGAAGGATTCCCTATGCTATACCTGTTAACCTACAATTCTTTTATCTATTACTTTTGGATCTGCTCCAGATAAGCTGTTTTTTGTCCCCACATTCTTTTCTTTTTTGCTTGCTTAACTTTTCTCTTAATATAAATGCAAAAGTAAACATAGTCCAAGTTCCGGGCTATAATTTGATTAATATTTATAATGAAACTATTTTATTCTAATTGAAACCAGAAGGGTATTTTTATACCAGAATCATTGTTTGAATATTTAAGCTTTTATTAGTTATGTGTTATATACCTTACTTAATCATATAGTTCTAAACTCTCAGGGAAGTAATGGCAGTTATTTCTTGGGTAGATGTGACTCAGCAACCACTGCAAAAAGCAAGATCTTAGCACACTTAGCTAGGTCATCTTCAAAGATTCCTCAACTGGATGGACCAATTCCTGATCCATATGATGATATGCTTTCTACTCCCAATGTAAGTGTCATATGCTTTTTTAAGTTGACTCCTAATCTAATTTTATGTAATTCTGCAACTTACTTTGTGCATAGGGTTTGCAATGGACCTTTTCTCTTAGTTTCTTGTGTGTATCATTGGATAGTTTACTAACTTACAGGCTGTTGCCTTTTGATTTTCTACTCACCTTGAAGATATACAATTACCAAGGAGTTGTCAATGAAGACTACAATGTAGTGAACACACCAGCTCCTAATGGTAACTTTAATCAATGAACAAACTGAGGATTGCATCATTTTGTACTTCGATTATATGGCTGTTCCTCTCTCTCTCTCTCATCTAAGAACCTTGTTTATATTTTGGTTGACCTGCTTTTCTTGTTTTCTTGTCAGACCTTCAGGCTGCCACTCCTGCCCCTGTTGCCCAAAATGATATAGGACATGATGATGATGATGAGCCATTGAATGAAGATGATGATGATGATGATTTGGATGATGTGGACCAGGGAGAGGAGTTGAACACACAGCATTTAGTTTTGGCTCAATTTGACAAGGTAATTTTGCTATTTCTGCAGCATGCATTATTTCTGCTCATAACCTTTATGGGGCATTTGGTTGTGTGGAATCTAAGATTTTCTCACGGAATGTTGTTGTTGGGTATTCAAATTGCCATGTTTAGTTCGAAGGTATCAGATTTCTAGGGGTAATTTTTTATTTCCAACAATACCCAAAGTCTCGGAATTATAAACTCACCTCTCCCTATGGTTTCTTAAGATTTCAGGAGGAAAGTGACATTTGTCCCACATTTGACCCTAATAAAAGATATTTTCTTTCTATTTCACTCCAACGAAAATCACCGTATGAGAATTTAGTAATTGTGGATTGCTTTTGTTTTAAAAAAATTTTTAATCGAGTGCTCCTTTTTTTTATATTTTCCCACTCAAGTACTGTGTTTGTAAGCCTTGAAATGCAATAATTGTGATTATTTATTGCGTTTCTTTGAACAGAAATGCAGTATTTGACTTGATGGCTTTTGATCTAATGAGTATTTAGAAACACGGTATTTGGCATTTATTTTTTTTTCTTGATGGCTTTTGATTTAATGAGCATTTATTATGGGTTTGTCAATTGCTGCGTTTCTTTGAAGCTAAATGCAGTCATTATTCATTGTTTTTATTCAATTGCTATGTGTTATTGATGACTATTTGTTTTTATTTTATAATTGATCACTCGAATACTGCGTTTTTTGCGCTTCTTGAATGAAATTAATGTAGTAATTGACGTATTGTTGTGTTTGTTATGTAGTGAAGTGAAGGATATTATAGTAAAAATATATGATTAAGTAATCTCAGATTTCTTCCAACCAAACACAGGAATCTAAAACGGGATGCTATAAAAAATCACACTTCCCCGGAATCACGCTTTCCCGGGGATCACATTTTCTTCTTGAGTCTAAGAATTTACGAACCAAACGCCCCTTACAGTAATTTGTATTTATACAAGTTTGGATAGTCCCATTTCTCTTCCATGTAGATAATAAATGCATTATATATTTTTGTTTGTAGGTGACTCGTACAAAGAGCCGATGGAAGTGCACACTGAAGGATGGCATCATGCATATAAGCAATAAGGACATTCTCTTTAATAAGGTGTGCTTGTCACTTAATAATATATGGCGTTTTTTTACACTTTGATGCTTTCTGTTTTCTAATTTTGTCTGTCACTGTTCCTAATTAAAGCCAAGTTTTTTTTTTTTTAATTGTTGAATGCTATTATGTTTTGCAGGCAATGGGCGATTTTAACTTCTGATTTTGTTAGAGAAATGTCTATTCACCATCATATTGCAGCGGTTGCTTTAAAAGAGCAAATCAAGGGGTGTTATTGGGTGTTTCTTAATTTTTCTTTAGTTAATATTAGAGTGAAAGCTTGATGGAAGGGCATGGGATGCTTCTTTGTAATGCCTTCCTTTAGACTCGGGTAGATGGCTGTCATATTGTACATAAAGGAAAGAGCTTTTTCGGCCTTAGAATGGATTACTACTACTTGAGATGCTTCATGAAGTTTTAAAAATTTCTGTAATGGAATATATAATTTCATTTATGCTATATACTTAGACGGCTTGGTTAATGTAAGAATCCCATTGTTTTCTTTTTGGTTTCAAAATCGAAACCAACTCTTCCCTTCTACTTTGCTTGCTTTTAGTTGAATTACCGCCCTTGCTTGTATTGAAAGGCATAAACAACATATTTATTTGAACTTGTGATTTTGATTTTGACTAGAATTACATTGAACAAGTTTGAACAGATTGTGATTTGCTTGGGGTGGTAGCATGCAAAGTCTCCTGTGTTCTCGATCGTCAGACTGCTTGTTCCTTGAGTATTTTGTTCTTACCTCATTAGTTTTTTTTCAAGGCAACAATTTGTTATTGTAAAGCATCAACCGGCAGAGGAATAGAGAGAATCCCATTTTTGAGATGGTTAAAACAAGTGGCAAATCAACAACGATAACTCTGTAAGACAAATCTGATGATCATCTTTCTTACAAGCAAAAGAATAGGCAACAACAAATCACCCAATGCATTATACAAGATTAAAGACACTGGTATTGACAATGGAGGAAAGATCCCCATCGATCAAGACACAATAATTTATGAACAAAACTGATAAATCTACCTCATAAGGTCGGAAAACACAAAGGTGGGCCATATAATGTACAGATATGCAGAACAAAAAAATCACTGTGCATCATTGACAAGAACACATTTGTTTTGAAACAAAGCCATAAAAGTGGAAGCCTCCACATATCCTGCACCAGCTGGTTGTTTCCAGCCAAATGCAGTTGGTGTTGGTGTTGATGCTGGTGTTGCAGCTTCCTTGTCATCAATTGGAAACAAAAATTCTTCTGTCCCTGGGAATGGATTGGGTGATAAAGCCAGCGGTGTCAGTAGGGGAATCGGAGTTGCAGCTTCAGAATTCCCAGTACAAGGCCCAAAAGGGCTGATCCTGGCAGCGGCAGCTTTCATCTGATCGAGCTTAAGAGATGCTGGGGCATGCTTTTGTAGCCTGGTGGGTGGCTTCCCTTCTTTGGTTTTGCTTATGCCAGTAACTTGTATCTCAAATATGTTCCTACGGTCCTCCATTCTTGAAATGTAACTTGCCAGAAAAATGATCTCTACCTTTTTCTTTCTTCTGTCTCTCTCAATACTCCAAAGAATAGACAAAGAGAAAGGGGGAGATATCAAGGGCTTGTCTTGGAAACCGGGAAATATAGGGTCAGTTAATAGGGTGGAACAATAGTAAAGGAAAGACGTTTTTGAAAGACAGTTATCAACTTACGGGCATCGGTCACTTACTCAAAATTACTGATGCCATACATTATTTTGAGTGGCTAATATTTTTCTAATTCCCCAAGTCAAACACATCATTATCATTCTTCCATTTTGGGGACAAAAAAAAAGGGTCAAAATTAAAAAGAGAGTTAAAACGAAAATCTGAGACAGCTAATAGAAAAAAGTTTAGGAAAATATGAAAAAACTTATCATTCATCCTCCTTCTATGAATAACCAAAAAAACTCAACAGAAATATAAAGTTTGAACAGGAACCAAAAAAATGGCTTAAGATTTTATACAGATGGATTATCAGACAGAATGAATATTCATAGTTTTTTTCTAAAAATAAATAAAAAGTTTTTATCCCGAAAACCAATTTTATTATATATTATCTCTCAATTATTAACTATTAATGATTAATTTAAATGGTAGAAAGAGTGGTTTTTTTTTTTCTGTTTAATAAAAAAAAAGTGCAATTATTGGGTATACCATTGGATATAGCTGACATAAAAATCAAAATCCCCGAATGGATACAAAGTTCAAAATTTCAAGAAAATTTAAGAAAAGAATAACACATTTCACATCAAAACAAATAAAATAAAAACAGAAAGAAGATAAAAGCGGGAAGATTACCTTCCAGCCGTTAGATTTTCATTCATTCATTTTGTTTTGGGTTCTCTGATCTTTTCTTCTATGGCTTGCAGTGTCACTCCTCAGCCTTTGCTGAACCTCGAACTCTCGCACTCACACCAACCAAAGAAACTGCACCCTTTCTCCTTCTGTTCCTTCACTAATAAGCCAAGACTCTCTCCAAAGCCTCTTTCCTCTCATGCCAATGATTACACAAAGATTAACATTTTTTCAAGTCCATCACTGTTTTCTAGTCGGAAACCCAGATCCCATGTAAAGTATTATCAACTATGATTTCTTTTAAACTTTGGGTTGTTTTTAAATCATGGTAGCGATTTCTCGAATCAATATCTAGCGATAGTTTTACGGATCTAACAGAATTACTTATAGCTGACTCAGCTTACCAAGAGCCCTTTTCCTGGTCTTCAGTGATTTTACCGTACGTTTTTAATCTTATTTTCTTCTATTTGATGTATTTTTTTACCTTTTCCTTTAATTTTTTTTCCTTCTTTAATTTTTGGGTTGAATTGATGGTTTTTTTTTGGAGTAAAAAAATTTGAAGAAAGGAATAATAAAGGGTAGATCATAGATTGTTTTCATGAAAAGTTTCCTTTAATCTACTGTCAATTTCGTGACTTAACTGAGTTTTGATTATTGTAATCAGATTTTTGTTCCCAGCTCTGGGAGGGTTATTGTTTGGGTATGACATTGGTGCCACCTCTGGTGCTACAATCTCTTTCCAGGTGCTTCAACGGACTACTGTTTTTCTTGTAGCTTTATCCAGTTAACTCACCATTTGATGTTTAGTTCAGTAGCATTAACCACATTAAAAAGATTCTATTATTGTATCTAATTTGTTTTATTGATAATTTCAGTCACCTGAGCTTAGTGGCACTACTTGGTTCATCCTTTCAGCTGTTCAGCTTGGTCTAGCGGTATGATTTCTTGGTTATACTTGAACAATTGCTGCATCATTTGTGGACATTTGCAGTCTTGTTCTGTCAATAATCAATGATAATGTATTTTTTTTCTAATTATTTGGGCTTAAGTGCAGGTCAGTGGCTCCCTTTATGGGGCCCTTCTTGGTTCCCTCCTAGTCTATCCAATTGCAGATTTCCTTGGTATTCCTTTATTCATCTTCTTCATCATAGTTGGAGCTGGAGCTTATACATATGAATTTTACATAACCAATATTTTTTATTTGTGCATGAAGGAAGGAGGAGGGAACTCATTATTGCTGCTCTATTATGTGTGCTTGGTGGAGTGCTGACTGCTTATGCTCCAGGCCTTAATGTTCTCTTAGTAGGACGTCTACTCTATGGCCTGGGTATTGGATTAGTGAGTTTCACAAAACTAAATGCTCATATTTCTGGTAGATTTATTATGATGTGCTTACTTGTAACATCTTGCATAGAAGCGATATGACAGGCCATGCATGGGGCTCCACTCTACATAGCAGAAACTTGCCCATCTCAAACACGTGGTACTAATATCTCTGAAGCAACTATTCATAGTTCTGGGAATTTTGGTAAATTTTTAAAGATGTTGTATAATACCTACTTTATTTCTTTGTAAACAAGCTGAGCTGAAGTATGGATTCCTCTTTAGTTGGGCTATTTTGTGGGAAGCTTCCAAATTAATGCTGTTGGGGGGTGGCGATACATGTATGGGAGCAGTGCCCCAATTGCATTACTTATGGGACTAGGCATGTGGAGTCTCCCACCATCACCACGCTGGTTACTTCTTTGAGCTGTTCAAGGTAAAGGATCTTTACAAGAATACAAAGAGAAGGCCGTCCTTGCTCTAAGCAAACTACGGGGTCGGCCTCCTGGTGATGAAGCATCTGAGAAGCAAATAGAAGATACCCTAATCTTAGTGAATTCTGCCTATATGGATCAGGAATCTGAAGGAAATTTCTTGGAGGTATTTCAGGGGCCAAGTTTGAAAGCCTTCATTATCGGTGGAGGTTTAGTCCTTTTTCAACAGGTACCTCTTCCTCCTAGCTGATCCATGCTGTTTATTAATTTATAATTATTATTCCTATGTTTTTTTGTTAATAAACATATGAGGAAGGAATTCTAAGCGTACAGAATTTTATGTTAAATGGCTTATATACAACCTGATTATGACAGATAACTGGCCAACCAAGTATTCTGTATTATGCTGGTCCAATTCTACAGGTACTGATAATTGAAAGCTATTCTCATCTTTCCAGTGTTTTTGAAATGGATCATATTATGTAATGTCAATTATCTGAAACATATGATATAATAGCTTTTGTAAGATTGTTTCTTAAGAGTGCTGGATTCTCTGTGGCTGCTGATGCTACCCGCCTTTCGGTTGTGGTAGGCTTGTTCAAGGTAACTCTTAAAAGATCTTGTTATTTAACTTTTGAATTATCATGTTACCTTCTTTAGTACGATGATTAAGTACTGTTTTCTACAGTTACTAATGACTTGGATTGCTGTTGTAAAAGTTGATGATCTTGGTAGAAGAACTTTGCTGATCGGAGGTGTTGGTGGGATTGTATGTAAACTATTCCCCTCCTTTCTGTTTAACTGTTTTGGCCTTTGGTATGTTAGTTTGCAAAGATAATTATAGAAGTTTATATTGCTTTTCAAAACTCATTGCACTGCAGGCTCTATCCTTGTTTCTGCTTTCTGCTTACTACAAATTTCTTGGAGAAGTCCCTTTTGTTGCTGTGGCTGCTCTACTTCTCTATGTTGGTTGCTATCAGGCCAGTATTTTTGTCGTTTGCTTGTTGGCATTGGTGGCACTGACTTGAAGAGTGGGACTGTGACACCTTCTAGGATAACAAATTTCATCTTTGTTTCTTTTCTTTCCTGAAGTTTCTACATATCAAAAGAAATATAAAGCTTCAACATAGAATTTGGAAAAAGAGAATACTGTTAAAAAAAAAAAAGATTCAGAAGTGAGCTAATATTTGTTCATGTGTTGTCAGATTTCATTCGGGCCTATCAGTTGGCTAATGGTGTCGGAAATTTTCCCACTACTAACAAGAGGGAAAGGGATTAGTCTTGCAGTTCTCACTAACTTCGGTTCAAATGCTATTGTTACCTTTGCATTCTTACCATTGAAGGTAACGGTTCAATTTTCAACAGTGTACTTATTTCAAAGTTGCTTTCTTATTATTTTTCATGCTTCAAATTTCACTTGACTGTTGTGATTTGATTTTCTGCAGGAGTTGCTAGGAGCAGAAAATCTTTTCCTTCTTTTTGGTGCCATTGCTCTGTTATCACTTTTGTTTGTGGTACTCAACGTCCCAGAGACTAAAGGTTTGAGCTTGGAAGAAATTGAATCCAATATCTTGAAGTAAAAGCTCAGCAATGCCCACTTTGATCATAATTTCAGTGAATAAGTAACCACCATTAGTCCGCAAAGTGAAACTTCACTTTGGGATTTGTCAGACTACTATTTTAGATGAACCTTTCTAGTGACATGTAAATGGAGTTGTATGTATGATAATCATTGTTACTGTAACTGATGAATCATGGCCTTCTTAAAACAGTTGTCATGATGGAGATATTATTGTGTATTCAATTGAAAAGCCAGCAAAATAGGGTTGAGTTTGATTTCTTTCTTAACACAAAATCAAAGTCTTAAGCCAATAAACATATAATTTAATGTTATTGGTAAATCAATGGTAAGTTGGAAGAGAAAAAATGGAGTTAAAGAGTTCATCAGGCTTAACCTGGGAGCAGTAACTTCCAAGTTAAAATTTTAGCAGGATTAAAATCAAGATTTTGTCGAGACAGCAACTAAAGGAAAAATAAATTCAAATAAAAGAAACAAAAAGCTAAAAAAAAAAAGAGATATTGCTTTTGTCCTACCAAACTAACTTGTTAGATTGGTAGCCATTGAATTATTAAATCTTGATCAAGTTTAACCAATGATAAAAATTCAAGTAGCTAATTAAATAAGCCCTGAAAACCATTATATGTAGTAAATTAATTTTAGAAGATACATGTACCTATCTTTATCATTCATTTATGAGTGAACTTGGACCGCCACTAATTCTACATGTTGATTATTCATTTGTCAGTCAAGTGAGATGAAGTAAAGCTCATTCTTTTCCCCTTTTTTAATGGGGAAATTCCTAAGTGGACTTAGACCGCCGCTAATTTACCTTTTTTGAGACACGTTTTCCATGTTATTCCCAGGGGTAATGACAATTCTTAATGGTTAATAGTAATCGACTTGTGGAACAAAATTTGACCCAAAGTAGGTCAGTTGCCTAGCATTGACTGTTGAATTCATGAAATTTTTAGCTTTCTAGGTGTAGAGTTTAACTGGGAAGATTTTGTTGTTCGAGGGTGGATAAAATTGATGTTTCTTTACTACTGTCATTAAATTGAGGAAATTAGAACGTTGTGAAAGGATTCCATGAAACAATTTAAGATAACATACATGAAAAAAATCAGTTCTAAAATTTCAAAAAGAAGGAATAAGTTATTACAATGTACAACATTTACAATTCTTCCTTCAGCTCTCCACCCTTCCACTAAGCTTTATCTGTTAACGTTTTGAGGTGTCTAAAGCTTTGACAAGAAAAATGGATGCCTCAGCGACCTATACGGAGAACTGTCTCCGTACTCGACAAGGAATTCAGAGAAACGCCCCTCTCAACAGATGAAGAACAAGAAATTATACAATTAGATTCCGAGTTGTTTGCCATGGACGTGTTTGTTTCAGTGCTGTGATCAAGTGATAAAGTTTCGAGGATAGAAGATGGTCTATTTTGGGCACTGTCAAGATGTATATCAGGCAAACTGGCATTGCCAACAAGATACTGCTCCACTTCCTTAATGGTAGGTCTCAGATCTGGCCTGGAATTGGAGCAAAGCAGGCCTAGTTTCAAAACTTTCTCCATCTCTTCCACCACATAATTACCTTGTAATCTAGGATCACTAGCATCAAGTATAATACCTCTTTTCCAGCACCTACCGACCAAGTCAACTAGAAAAATGTCTTCGGGATGTAGGTTAGGATCAAAAGGCTTCCTCCCACAAGCCACCTCTAGCAGAAAAGCCCCGAAAGCAAAGACATCAGCAGTTTCAGTAGCCTTCCCAGTTCTGGCAAGTTCGGGATCCAGATATCCTAAAGTCCCTACTAGGCGTGTGGTTTGTGGATCACCATCACGATCATACAATCTAGCAAGGCCAAAATCTCCTAGCCGTCCATTTAGATTGGAATCTAAAAGAACATTGCTAGCTTTGATATCTCTATGGAGAACAACTTGTTCCCATCCTTCATGGAGATAAAGAAGAGCATCTGCCACCCCTCTGATGATTTGAAACCTTTGAGACCAATTAAGGTTTGGATTGTCATCGTTGAAGAGGAATTTGTCAAGGCTTCCATTTGCCATATAATCATAGACCAAAAGGAGTTCTTTCTTTCGCCTGCAATAGCCACGAAGCCGCACCAAATTCCTATGCCTTAGCCTTCCCATGCTAACAATCTCAGAGACAAATTCCTTCATCCCCTGATCTGATTCATGGGATACTTTCTTGACCGCTATTTCTTCATCAGAAAAAGGGAGGGTACCTTTATATACCTTTCCAAAACCTCCAGATCCAAGAAGTTGTTTGTCTTTGAAGCCTTTGGTTGCTTTGTAGAGAGTCTTGTAAGAGAACCTTTGAGGTCCATACTCCTTTTCCCAGTCTTCATTTATTTCTTCATATTTCTTCTTCCTGTAAACATATGTTGCTCCAGTGATTATTAACAGCAAAAGCGCAGCTGCTATGATCATAATCAATCGAAGTACTGTTTTTGTTCTTCCTCCAACTTTGGGAAGTTTTGGAAGCCCTGATATGTCAAGGCTTTGTGCTTGTCCACTTCTGTTGAAGCTCCATCCCAGAATATAATGTTTGTTATTTGCAATTGTACCTGTTGCTGCCGAGAAACCAACATACATAGTGTCAAGTAGAATACCAGTGAGATCGATTGATGTTGACAAGAGAGGCTGGTATGGTTTTGGGCTTGTCGTTGGTGCCAAGGTTACATTGAGTAGTTTTTCTCCATCACTGTAGTCTATCCAAACCTGTATTGGATCTCCACTGATGAGATTCAAGCTTTTATTCTTCCTTTCTTTATTGGAAAAATATGCTGCTGGTATGGATCGGTTGGATATCACGCTATTCACATCAATTCCCACATGATTGTTATCTATATCCTTCATGTCAAGACTCTGGATAGTATCAAACTCAACTGCGAAGATGTGATTTGCAGAATTGCCATTGTTTGTAGCACTAAAGAGTCCCAGATATTGAACTGCCTCCGCACGGCTGAAATCCGTAGATTGTGAGATGACAAAGGCAAGGCCGTGTCCACTAGCACTTTTCAATTCAGGAACCATGGCGATTACAAAGTTCGTGGAGAATGAAAGAGATCGAACTGAACTTGGGGATGAAGCGTTGAAGTTTATCGGAGATGGGTGGAAAGCATGACCGACTAGTTGTTTTGTGATGTTGGTGAGCTGCAATCGACCAGTAGGGTGGATTTTGGCATTCCCATCAAGGTGCAAATTAGCATCACGGAAGCCATTGTAAATGAATTGGTCAGGATCTTCAGCCCTGGCCAGGGAAATTACAGACAGGCACGAAAACAACCAAAAACAAAATGATGTAAAAGCAGCAGCCATTGTGAAAAGAATGAACGGTCTACATAACATATCTACCTTTTTATTTATTTCCCGGAGCAACAACTTGCAGAAATATATTAAATGAAATTATCCTAATTTCCTTTCAATTTTAAGTGTCAATGTCGGTAAGTAACCCTCAGAAAATGTCAAACTTTGAACAAGAATAGTCATCCAATGATTTTAATTTCAAGAGTCAATAAACAGAGTTAGTGAAATAACGCAGAAACTGACAATTAATTGACCTGTATTTTGGCTGTTAGGTGGCATAAGAAAAATGAGACACTGAGGCATCATCTTCCCCCTTCCCTCCATTGCCTTCCCCATACGTATATGCCCCTTGGGGGAAGGTTCTATCCTCCCAAAACCCATGGTCAAAATCATGCTTAGCCTCTGATCATACCTTCGACCTAGGGTCATACCCCTTGGGGAAAGGTTATATTCACCTAAAACCCAAGGTCAAACTGGTTTCATTCATGATTTGCCTGCCCTCTATATGGCTAAAAAATATATATTAATTAATTGTTCTGATAGTTAAGTGATTTTTAAATTACTTTTTGAAATTATTTTCTGAGAGTAATTGTGCAATGATATGCTTAATTCTTGGCCTCGAAGTTTCCTATTAGGATGATATCTCATATTAAGTTTTAGTCTGTCGCAATCCTGAAAATCAGGATAAGATAAACAAACATAGAGCTTCACTCTGTTTTTATTCATGAATAATAATAATAATAATAATGATCTATCAACCAGATGCCATATTCTCAACGTTTGAAAAATTCCTAAGACAAAAAGTCCAACATTTTGCAAGTAGCACACAGGTAATTTCCTCAAGCGTGACTATTGTTTTATTCTTTATGGAGAAAACAACACATTGCCATTGCTACAAACTGGAATGGACTTGGCCTACCATTGACTCTCGGAAGTCTCCTCATCCGCGAATCATGGATTTTATCTTCAATTTCCATTTTTTTGGGGGGGGGTTTAGAAAAAGAAAACGTCATAAATCATACTTAGTTTTAAGTAATAGTCTGCAATTAAGCCAAAACCTCTATAACAGATAAGATAATTGACGCCACTGCATATTATTGCGCCTAAAGCGTATTGGAAATTAATTTGGACCTTGAAAAGGGCATTGGAGAGTGGCAGAACCAAATCTAACCACTTTTTATTTCTTTAATTTACAAGTGATAAAACCCATTTCCTTCATTTTCTATTCTTTCAACTTCACCTGAACCATACATGTTTCGTCAGTTTAAAATCATTGCAGCCAATAAATCCTCATCACATTTACATTATTATAGAAAGCCGGTGTCGTCACACAATCTATTTTTTTCCAAAGAAAATCAGCATTTATTCAAAATACTATAATCTTTTAAATCATGAATGATAAAGTTTGTGAAAAAGCAAAAAGGTATAATCAGAGAGTGATGCCCTTAGCATACGCTGAAGAGCTAATATTGTTTATACAAGGGCGGCTTGTCATGACTTTGTTTTTCTGTTTTCTTTTCTAAAGCTGCGGTACAATATATATGGAGCATTAGCCAGTGATTATTCCATGCCAACAAATTATGTGCCTCAACATAAAAAAACTGCATCACTCTTTGTCTTGAATCTACATTATTTTTCATATGGATTAGTAAATTAGAAAGAATTTTTTTTTTTAAAAGAGAAGTTTATGCAAGAAAAGGAGAATCTGGGAGATTTCATTGTCAGGAGTACATGTTTCTTTGACTTAGAGTTAGAAGGAACAAATAAAGCAGCCGGCATGGGCCATTGCATCAGCCTTCTTTCTTTCATTTTCTAGCCATCGATATTGACAAATTTAGCCATTGTTTAAACCTTTTCTTATATGTCAAGAAAGACTCTCCATTTGGATGACGTAGATACTTTGCAGCCTTGATTGGCACATGCAAGTTAGAATTTTTGTTGATTGGATTTGGCAATCGAAATTTTGCGATATCTATTCCAAATTTTCAAAGGGCATGCATAATTGGCATATGAAATTAATGAATCTAACAATTGCTTTAATATGTTGAAACGGATGATAGCCGTACATCCTCACCATTTTTTTGAAATAAAAACAAAAGAGTAAAGATTGACTAATGGGTTTAGATTGATGGTTGAATTGATAAGATTTGAATATTTTATTTATAAGATTTTGGTTTGAATTTCAATATAAGTGGTCATTTTTATAGACGATTTTGTAAATCAAATGTAAATCTTTGTTTAAATCTACGATTTGTTGATCCCAAAGTGATGAAGTCTTTACTTACCATAAATTTTTTTATGCAATTATTGGTGCCACCTAACAGGTAGATTAACCTAACTATGAATGGTTAAAGGTTGGGTCAAGGTTAATTTTTGTTCGTCTTAAATTTAATTTGATTATATATATATAATACTTAAATTTAATTTGATCTAATTTTTTTAAAAAAATTTTATATCCGAATCTGATTTAATTTGAAATTAATAAAATATTATTTTTTAATATAAATAAAAAATTAAATATATATAATTAATTAATCAAAAATAATTTTTTATATATATCAGGTCGGATAAAGTCAAGTTTACCTAAAATCTTAATCTGATTTTTCTTTTCTATTACTTGATTCGATTCGATCCTATACTAAATTTAAAAAAAAAAATCTAACTCTAAGAGATCAGATCAAATTAAAACCGTTAGATACAAGTTAACCTACTTTTCTTAAACTTAACACTAACTCTAAACCTCTTATTATATATTTAATTAGACTTAATAATTAATATTTTCGTATCTTCTGTCGTGTTTAATATGTATAATGATACGAATTGTTAAAATATAAATATAATATAAATTATAATACGTGTTTAAATTTTAATAGTTATTGTGGGTTTAATTCTCAATTTTTGCAGGAAGAAGAAGCTGCTCTTCTTGAATCATTGTTAGGTGAAAGATGGCTAGGTTGCTCCCATCAACCTTTTTAAGTTGCCCAACCTGCATTTATTTGGAAGACAGAGGTGAGTGGTGATAATCATAGGACGTCCCAAATGCCGCCGGGTTCAGCTTCATTGCCAGTCAACATCACGGACTGGTCCAAGATTCTTAAAGCCGAATACAGGGGACATAGCGAGAGTGATGAAGATGTTGACGACGGCGACGACAACGATGACGACGGAGATCGTGATGGAAGGGTTCCTCCGCATGAATATCGGACAATGAGAAGAGGGCCTTCGTTTCATGAAGGAATTGGAAGGACTTTGAAAGGAAGAGACTTGGGTCGTGCTAGGAATGCTGTCTGGAAAAAAACAGGATTTGAAGACTAACCCAAGGAACAGAACATAAAACAAAAACCCAGGTTTAATTCCGATTATATATTTTTATAGAGTTAATTGGCAAATTTTTTAATTGCCATATCTATATATATATATATATATTCTAGCTTTTTCCTCTGTGTTTTGAGATTTATCATTGGATTTGTCTGGTTCTTTCGCATAATGTAACTATTCAGGCTTTGAGATTGTTAGCAGATTTCAATGATAAATTTTTCGAGTATTTTTATTTATTATGGAAATTGAATTTGAGGAAATTAAATTATGGATGATGATGGATTGGTTAGTTGGCAGGATAATAGCGACAGCCAAGCTAGTAACAACGCTTTTATTATCCAGTTAAATCTCAGCAAATGACTAATCCAGCCTTTTGATTTTTACCAAAATTGGAAATATTAAATTTCGTGGTTTGATTTTAACAGAAAGAGTTATTATTTGATGTCAAAGCATTCTTACATATGTTTATTCTCATATACGTTTATTGTATAAAAAAAATTTCTCCGTTATTTATTTAAAATTATTCATCATTTATAATTGAATAAATTTATTATATTAATAATATAAAAAAGGTTACATATTTAAAAAAATAAAAAAATTTAATACCCATTTAATATGTATTTAATATATATTTAAATTTTAATATTATTATATAATTGTATTAATTTTTATTATAAAATTTAAAATGATAAACTATTAAAGATTAAAAAATAAAATAACAATATATAAGATTAATATTAGTATTTATATTGTATTTATATTATTAAAATAAAAAATATTTTTATAATAATTATTAAATGAGTATTATAATTAAATGTTTAAAATAATTTTTATATGATATTAAATAGTTAATCTTATCATAATTAAAGGTTAAAAATTAAAATAATTTTTATATGTGTATATTAAATTAAAATAAATATAAAAAATGTGTTAAATGTGTTAAATATATTAAACATGTTAAACGTGTATTCATAGGATAAAATTAAATTAAACGTATTATTAGTATTGTGTCACGTATTTAAATGTGTCAACATATATAATATACGAATTATGTCGTGTCAAAATTCGTGCGATACGAATAAATATGAAACATATTTTTTTAAAATATATATATAATTTTTTTCGTGTCATTTTTGTGTCATATCATTATTTCATGTTTGAAATTATTAGATATATATTTAAGCAAAAAATAAAAAACTCTTATCACAGGAAAATAAGATTTTTTTTTTTTAGTTAAATTATCAGGACTTGAATTTTGATAATTGAAACTAAAAGTTCAAAACTCATTTGTCTACATTGAACTTGTTTTCCATGCAACAATGAATATCTTATTTTTATATGATATTGTGCACAGACTATATCAGAAATATCAATTTGTTCATGCATATAGTTATAAGCAAGTGTTTTTTTTCCTAGTTGCTTAGCCAAAGTGATTACATAAATTTTCCACCGACCAAAAAGCTGATTATTATATATTATTCTAAAACAGGATGGATTTAGCAGTTACGGTTGATTACAAGTCAACCTGTTTATACTTTCATTCTGGTCATTTTTTCAGATAAAACGTTTTAGAATTTAATGCAACATTTCACTTTTGCATTTAGCTGACTTCAGCTGTCAGCCATGTTATTAATAATTAAATTCCAACTCCAACAACAAAGTCAAATTATTAGAAGAAAAAATATACATGCATTGTCCCCATGTCATACTTGCCGTTTCCATTGATCCTTAGGTCATGCATCCATTGACTCAACAGAAAGCCATCGTTTAAGCTTTCATCAATTATGGCAAACAGGGCAAGGAGCAACCTCTTTTACTTGAAGTGACCTCCAACTGTGCTAAAACCTCAACGAAGGATAATTGGGACCATCATGGAATTGACACTAAGCTTTATTGTAGGCCTTCAAGATGTGAACTAAGGAGGAAGAAATGCATTCTTCAAGTTGAAAGCCTGTGACCATTGAGAAATGACCAAAAGATGATTGTAAATCAATCCAGCAGATGAAACGTTTTAGGCTGGGGAAAGAAGAAAGCATATGTAGATAATCTCGCACTAATAATTAATCCGCAACTCTGATATAACACACCAAAATGCATGACTCACATCGAAAACATTTTGGGATCGGACTGGAAAATGGGAAAAGGGCAATGAGCAAAAAAAATGAGAGAGGTTTCGTCAACCATGACTACAAACATGGTTATCTTTACTTTCTTTGGATGGAAAGAAACAGCAGTATGCATAACAACCAGTCTAGTTTTGTTCAATGTTTTATTTAACATGAAATCTAGCATATTTTATTTAATTGAAAGATCATCAGCATAGTTTTCGCATGCACCATGATATAATTGGTTTAAATTAAAATGCTAGAATATGCTCGTAAAATGTCCATTTGCAACATTTAACCACTAAAAACATTAATGTTATGTCTGTCATTAGTAAATCTCTGCTATTTCATAACCTTCTTGAAAAGGAAGAATCTTAGTGACGGTGAACTATGAGAGTAACCTCTAAATTTTGTATTCTACTGGCTTGTTTCCACAGATTAACATTTAATTACAATATGCAAGCTACTCAATAATTAACTGGACTTGCAGCCAATTATTTCTTATATGGATAGATTGACATTGAGCTCCTATATTTTAACTGGAACTATATATATAGCATAATATTGGCTGAAAGAAGCTTATATAACCTGTGGCAAATTCTACAAATCAATGTTCATGCTTATTCCACATCCCTTTCCCCATTGCTGATGTTCAGCTTGCTTTCTTGCATTTAAGTGGTATTGTACTTGTTGAGTTATGAAGATAAGAGATATTTCTGATTTAACGACCAGTGGTGAGGATAGATATAGAGCTAGAAAAGGAATTGGCAGAAACAAAATTTTCTTCATATGATCTAGGGAGTGACACAGCACAATCTGTAGATGTTGTGTGTTCAATTGTCATTATATTAGCACCATCCAGTTGTATCTCAGGAAAGGTAGAATTTTCATCCAAATATTGTACCATCTGCCTCGTGCTAGGCCTATTTGCTGCTATAGCTTTCCATAATTCAAGAACCCAATCAGCCAAAATTGACTCTTCTGGCTCTAGTTGTGGCTCTAGAGGCTTCCTTCCACATGCTATTTCAAGCATAAAGGTCCCAAAGCCAAACACATCAGTGCTGGTAGTGGCCTTCCCGGTTCCAACCAGCTCTGGTGCAATGTATCCCAGAGTCCCAGCCAAATCTTTATTTTAATTAATTATTTTTAATTAAAAAACTTTACAATTTTATTTAAAAAATTTCAGCCAAATCTTACTTAAGCAAATGTTGAATAAGCAATGACTTTAATTTCAAGAGTCAAGAAACAGAATTTGTGAAATAACGCTGAAACTGACGATAAATTGACCTATACTTTGGCTATTAGGTCGCATTAAAAAAAAAAAAGACAGGCATCATCTTGCCCCTTTCCTAGCATGCCTTCCCCAGATGGATATGCCCCTCGGGGGATGATTCTATCCTCGCAAAACCCATGGTCAAAATCATGCTTAGCCTCTGATCATTCCTTCGACACAGGGACATGCCCCTTGGGGAAGGGTTATATTCACCTAAAACCCAAGGTCAAACTGGTTTCATTCATGATTTGCCTGCCCTCTATATGGCTAAAAAGTTTATATTGATTAATTGTTCTGTTGGTCATGTGATTTCTAAATTACTTTTTTAAATTATTTTCTGAGAGTGATTGTGCAATGATATGCTTAATTACTTGGCTTTGAAGTTTCCTTTGTCAAGTTTTAGTCTGTCGCACTCCTGATGGTAAGATAAACAAACATAGAGCTTCACCCTTTTTTTGGTCCGTAAAAACAGAATTTAATGACCAATCAAACAGATGCCGTATTCCCAACGTTTGAAAAATTCCTAAGACCAAAACTCCAATAATCGGCAAGCAACACACATGCAATTTCTTCAAGCGTGACTATTGAGATAAAAACATATTGCCATTGTTAAAAAACTGGAATGCACTTGGTCTGCCATTGACTCTCGGAAGTCTCCTTATCCGCGGAACACGGATTTTATTTTCAATTTTCATTTTTTTTTTTGGGGGGGGGGGGGGGGTGGTGTGTTTAGAAAAAGAGAACTTCATAAATCATAAGTAGTTTTAAGTAACAGTCTGCAATTGCAAGCCAAAAGGCCCAAAACCTCTGTTACAGATAAGATAATTGAGGCCACTGCATATTATTGAGCCTCATCGGAAATTTGGACCTTGAAAAGGGCATTGGAGAGTGGCAGAACCAAATCTAACCACTTTTTATTTCTTTAATTTACAAGTGATAAAACCCATTTCCTTTATTTTCTAGTCTTTCAACTTACCTGACCCATATATGTTTCAAAAGTTTAAAATCATGGCAGCCAATAAATCCTCACCACATTTACATTATTATACAAAGCTGGAGTCGTCACATAATCTGTTTTTTTTTTTTTTCCAAAATACTATAATCTTTTAAATCATGAATGAAAAAGTTTATGAAAAACCAAAAAGATATAATCAGAGAGTGATGCCCTTAGCAATCGTTGTCTATACAGGGGCGGCTTGTCATGACTTCTTTGTTTTTCTGTTTTCTTTCTAAAGCTTTGGTATAATATGCATGATATTCTTGGAGCATTAGCCGGTGATTACGTGAAAATTTACATTCAATTTAAGAGATATTATTTGTTTTGATTTGAAAATCTTATAATTTTATCTTATAAAAAATATTTCATAAATTTGAAGTTAAATATATACTTATATAACATAATAAATCCTCATAATCTTTTAATATGGGATTGAAGTATCGCAAACTCTCTTATTAAAGTTTCATATTCCCATCAAACCCAACACAAAACACATAGATTAACCAAATCATATCAAATGTTGGCAAGCCCAATACAAAACACACAAAGATCACAGAATCACATTAGACATTAAAATTTTTAAGTTTGCTTTCACCACATAGCACTTAAATCTCACAGGATTCTTGTGGTGATTTTCATGATGTAATACTTAGTTCCCATTGAATTACACCAAACATTGAGTAAACTCAACACAAAACACATAAATCTATCGAATCATATCAAACAGTAAACACGTTGGAATTCTTAAAGTGACTTTCACTATATAACACTTAACTTTCATAAGATTTTAGAAATAATTCACACGGTGTAACACTTAGTTCTCACTGAATCACACGAAACGTCAAGTAAGCACAATACAAAGCATATACAAATCACATGATTACATCAAACGTTGAGATATAGACCACATGATCACATCAAGCGTTGAAATTCTTGAGATAACTCTCACTGTGTAGCACTTAGTTCTTGTAAAATTCTAAAAATGTCTCTCACGGTATAGTGTAATATTTAGTTTTCGTCCGACTGGTAACATATTTGATACTATTTGTGAAGATCCAACTCAACCTAAAAGGTATTATCCATTTTAACTTAAAAATCTCGTGTTTTTATATCACAAAAATATTTGCCTCATAAATTTAAGATTAAACCTCAATTTATATATCATAATAAGTTCTAAAATATTTTAATATGAGATTCAAACATCACATATTAACCTATGCCAGCAAAATATGTGCCTCAACATAAAAAACTGCTTCACTCTGTCTTGAATCTACGTTGTTTTTCATATGGATTAGTAAATTATGGAAAGAATTAAAAAAAAAAAAAGAAGAGAAGTTTATTCTAGAAAAGGAGAATCTGGGAGATTTCATTGTTAGGAGCAAATGTTTTCTTGAATTGGAGTTAGAAGGACAAAATTGAGCGGCCGGCATTGGCCATTGTGTCAAGCATTTTTTTTTTCTTTGTTTTTTTCTAGCCATCTGGATGTTGACAAATTTAGCCATTGTTTAAACCTTTTCTTGTATGTCAACAAAGACTCTCAAATTGGTTGCAGTAGGCAGTCTGCAGCCTTGATTGGCACATGCAAGTTCGCATTTTTGTTGATTGGATTTGACATTCCAAATTTTGCGATGTCCGTTCCAAATTTCCAATGCTCATGCATAATTGGCATATGAAATTAATGAATCTAACAATTACTTTAACATGTTGAAACGGAAGACATCCCTAGGTACATCCTCACCATTTTTTTGAAGGAAAAACAAGAGTAAAGATTGACTATTGGGATTATTTTTGTTGGTTGAGTGGATAAGATTTGAATATTTTATTTATAAGGTTTAGGTTTGAATTTCAATGTCAGTAGTTAATTTTTATAAATTATTCATAAATTTAATATAAATCTTCTTTGAGACCTACAATCTGTTGATCCTAAAATGATAAAGCCTCTTTTCAACTTAAACTTTTTTACGCACCAAAAAAAATTGACTATTGATGTCTCTAGCAGGTAGATTATCCTATACTTAACACAGCCAAAACAAATAGATTTCTTTTTTTTTTTTACATAAATTGTCAGAATTTGAATTTTAATTACTGAAATTAAGAGTTCAATATTCATTTGTTTATATTAAACTTGTTTTCCCATGCAACAATAAACAGCTTATTTTGATTTGATATTAAGCACAAACTATATCAGAAATATCAATTTGTTCAGCAAGTGTTTTTTTCCTAGTTGCTTAGCCAAAGTGATTATAAAAAGTTTCCACCGACCAAAAAGCAGAGTATTATGGTTTAATGCAACATTTCACTTTTGCATTTTATTGACTTCAGCATTCATTCAGGTTATTAATAATTAAATTCCAACTCCAACAACAAAGTCAAATTATTAGAAGAAAAAAATATACATGCATTGTCCCCATGCCATACTTGCCATTTCCATTTATCCTTAGATCATGCGTCCATTGACTCAACAGAAAGCTAACGTTTATGCTTTCATTAATTATAGCATACAGGGCAAGAAGCAACCTCTTTTACTTGAAGTCACCTCCAATTTAACTGTGCAAAACTTCAACGAAGGATAATTGGGATCATCATGGAATTGACATCAAGCTTTATTGTAGGCCTTCAAGATGTGAACTTGGGAGGAAGAAATGCATTCTTCAAATTGAAAGCCAGTGACCTTTGAGAAATGACCAAAAGATGATTGTAAATCAATCCAGCCAGATGAAATGTTTTAGGCTGGGGAAAGAAGAAAGCATATGTAGGTAATATGGCACTGATAATAAAGTCGCAACTCTGACATATTAACCAAAATCATGACTCACATTGAAGACTTTTTGTGGTCGGAATGGAAAATGGGGAAAAGGGCAATGAGAAAAAAAATGAGGGAGGCTTCGTCAGCCATGACTAGGAACATTTTATCTCTACTTTATTTGGACGGAAAGAAACAGCAGTATGCAAATCAACCAGTCTAGTTTTGTTCTTGCTATTATTCTTTACTAGCATAAATTTTTTATTTAACAAGAAATCTTGCATAATTTATTTAATTGAAAGATCTTCAGCATATTTTTCACTTGTACCATGACATAATTGGTTTAAATTAAAACACTAGAATATGCTCATAAAATGTCCGATTGCAACATTTAAGCAATAAAAAAATTTAATGTTATGGCTGTCAGTATTAAATCTCTGCTGTTTCATAACCTTCTTGAAAAGGAAGAATTTTAATGATGGTGAATTATCACAGTAACCTCTATACTTTGTATTCTACTGGCTTGTTTCCACAGGCTAACATTTAATTACAATATGCAAGCTACTCAAAGCTCCATAATTAACTGGACTTGCAGCCAATTATTTCTTAAACGCAGCTTTGGCTAAGAATAAAAGATGTACTAAATGGATAGATTGACATTGACCTCCTATATTTTAACTAGAACTATATATATAGCATAATATTGGCTGAAAGAAGCTTATATAACCTGTAGCAAATTATACAAATCAATCTTCATGCTTCCATTGCTGGTGTTCACCTTGCTAACTTGCATTTAAGTGGTATTGTACTTGTTGAATTATGAAGACGAGAGATGCTTTTGATTCAACGACCAGTGCTGAGGATAGATATAGAGCTAGAAAAGGAATTGGCAGAACCAGAATTTTCTTCGTATGATGTAGGAAGTGACACAGCACAATCTGTATATGCTCTGTGTTCAATTGTCATTGTGTTAGCACATTCCAGTGGCATCTCAGGCAAGGTAAAATTTCCATCCAAATATTGTACCACCTGCCTCGTGGTGGGCCTATTTGCTGCTATCGGGTTTGTACAAAGAAGACCTAGTTTCAAAACCAACTCCATTTCCTCTGCCACAAAACTACCTTCCAATCTAGCATCGCTTGCATCAAGAATAGCTCCTGCTTTCCACAATTCAAGAACCCAATCAGCCAAAATTGTCTCTTCAGGCTCTAGTTGTGGCTCTAGAGGCTTCCTTCCACATGCTATTTCAAGCATAAAGGTCCCAAAGCCAAACACATCGGTGCAGGTAGTGGCCTTCCCGGTTCTAGCCAGCTCTGGTGCAATGTATCCCAGAGTCCCAACCACACGAGTGGTTTGAGGATTTGTTCCATGATCATATAATTTTGCAAGACCAAAGTCTGCTAACCTTCCATTAAAGTTAGCATCTAACAGAATATTGCTAGCTTTTACATCTCTGTGTAGAACAACTTGCTCCCACTCTTCATGAAGGTAAAGCAGTGCAGATGCTACTCCTTTAAGAATTCGAAATCGTTGAGCCCAATTAAGGTTTGGCTTTGAATTGCTAAATAGGAACTTGTCTAGACTTCCATTTGGCATATAGTCATAGACCAACAAAAGTTCTCCTTTTCGCCGGCAGTAGCCTAGGAGCTGCACCAAGTTCCTATGCCTTAGCCTTCCCATGCTGGCAATTTCGGCAACAAACTCCTTCATCCCTTGTTTCGAATCATGGGAAATTCTCTTGACCGCAACCTGTTCGTTAGAAGAAGGTAATACTCCTTTGTAAACACTTCCAAAACCCCCACTTCCAAGCATCTCTTTTTCTTTAAAACCTTTTGTTGCTTTATAGAGATCCTTGTAAGAGAACCTTTGGGGACCATATTCTTTTTCCCAGTCTTCACGTATTTCTTCATATTTCTTCCTCCGTATAACATATGCACCACCAGAGATTGTTACAAGCAAAGCAATCACTGTTATTGAAGGGACAATAATTCTTAAATCTGCTTTCGACTTTGAATTTCTCGGAGGAGGAAGTGAAGGAAGCTTTGAGTAGTCTAGGCTTTGTGCTTTCCCAGTTTTACTGAAGCTCCAGCCGAGTATATAGTGGTTACCAGCTAATTCACCAGTTGATGAAGAGAAACCAACATACATAGAATCCAAGAGATAAGTAGAAAGATCAATGCTCCTTGATAAAAGAGGCCGGCTAGGCTTGTTGCTTCTAATCGGAGCTAGTGTTACATTGAGCAGCTTCTCAACTTCCTCATAATCTATCCACAGCTGCATTGGATTTCCACTAAAGAAGTCCAAGCTTTTATTTTCCCCTTCATCTTCTGCAAAGTATGTTGCTGGAGCTGATTCCAAGGATGTCAAGCTATTTACATCAACGCCAACATGGCTGCCATTGATATCTGCAAATTCAGGGCTTTGAACTGTGTCTAGCTCTATAGCAAAGACATGGTTTGAAAAAAGGCCATTGCTTGAAGAATTAAAAAGTCCAAAATACTGGCTTGCTACAGCCCCTGGCAGCTCCATGTTGGGTGAGATAGTGAATGCAATACCATGGCCACTAGAATGGATCGTTTCTGGAACCATGGCAAATACAAAGTTGGTTGAAAATGATAGGGAATCAGAGCGGTCGGATGAAGATTTGTTGAACTTGAGAGGAAATGGGAAGAAAGCACGGCCAATTTGTCTCTTTGAAGTGTTGGTTAGCTCTAATAGACCATTGGGTTGGATCTTAGCAATCCCATTTAGATGCAGATTGGTTCCATTAAAGCCATTGAAGATGAACTGGTTTTCCTCTTGGGATAAGGCAAACTGTTTTAAAAACATGAAAAATGTTATCAGAATATGGAGTGATTTGAGAACTGTAGCCATTGAGAGAAGAAAGAAAAATAGAGAAGATGTTTATTGCTTCTTTACTTGTATCAAGAACCTTGATGTGAGTTCTTTCTCATCAATTGCATATATTTCAAAAGGATACAGCTTAATCTCTTCAAGCTTTCCCATATGTGGTCCAAAGTTTGACGTCAAAATAGAACTACACATTTACTTGCCAACTCATTGCTTGATACACATGGGAAAGGGCTGCGACTCAGCAGCCTACATAGACAGATAGGCCGCTTTGAAAATGCTAGAGGCATTCTACTCTAAGGAATTTAAAAGTAAAATCAAAACAGGACAAGGAAGACCAGGAAAAAAACCATCTATAGAAAGAACAATACCTTTTTTTTTTTCTTTTGTTGGAATAATTGAAACAACAATAATACCTTTTGGTCAATGCATAAATCTGATTTCTTTTTTTAGTCTTTTTTTTTTTTTTAATTTCTGAGCCATGTAGATTCAGATACTTGTATCAACTTATGAAATTTTGTCAAATTTAACCCAACATTATTCTACGAAATGTTGTGGGAAGGTTTTTGTTTTCCCTGCAAATTAAGGGCAGCAAATGACAATTTTTCGTTTCCATAGATGACCGCAAAACAAGATTTTTGATTGATGGAACATGGTGCCAGACTTTTCCCATTTCTTTTGCTTTTATTATGAACCAACTTTTAGAAAAAGAGGCCTCAGCATGAAATGGACTGACTGGCTTTGATATGGAATCTTATCAGATTCATGACACCAATGAAAGTCCAGAACAGTGCGACGGAATCACAGCTGAATATTGAGCTAGGCATACGTAGTTTTTGACATTCAATTCAATTGTAGTATTATTTTCTTAAGACAGGCGGCTCGAACAGATAAGTCATATGTCCTCATTTTTACCACAGACCAAAAATCAGACGTAGCAGTTCTGCAGGTGAGGATTCTTGGATACAAACTTTGAACATTTGTAGGGTCGTTTACAATTAATGGTGTTGATGCTTCATGTTGAATACAAAACATAAAATTAGATTCTTGAAACTATTTACTGGAAACACGGTCCAGAAATCCGTCAAGCCATCAGGGGGTTAATTTTATTTTTTTTGGATAAATGAAAGAATTTTTTATTTACCAAAAAAGAAAACAGGCGAACCTGCTACAAGGTTACACAATGAAACTGTTCCAAAATCTCAAAGTAATTTTAGAATTACATTTTGAAGATATTCTCACTGATTCTCGAAGCGGAGCAAACATTCTTATTGACTGAATCACAAGAGAATCTGGTGGCGTTTGTAAGCCGCATCCTGATAGGCTCTCCAATATGGTTAACCATTTCAGTTGGTTTGGAGTATTCTTCCACTATTGTCTTCCTTCAGAACTGCAAGACAAAAAAAATAGAGAGGAGTGATTGATATCCTGAGTAAGGATCGACTTAAGTTACCAGATGACAAAAATGAGGACTACTAGACCGCCATAACAGGACAGAACTGAAAACTTACCATAAAATTAATCATTTTTGAAAGAGCATCTAGGTTCTAGAAAGAAATTACGGCACTATATATTATGATCTAATTTGGATTTCATAATCCTGAGGCAGTAAGAATTCAGGATCCATTTATTAAATTTTGATTCCTCTAATACTAAAATCAAGTATGCAAGTATACCCATTGTGCGAATATGAAAAATAGGTGTACCAGTTTGAGCATTGGTAGAAACGGGAATTTGTGGAAATGAGTTTGTATCTGATTGCTTGATTGTAGATTGGGTCGGCTCCTCTCTCCAGAGCAAAGAATTTACAGCACCTTTCACTTTATCTAGCACACCCACATCACCAGGAGTTCTCCTTGGGCTTATTGCATTAGATATTACCTGAGAAAGTGCTTTCTCATCTTCCCCTGGCTCAAATTTGTTCATTATATACGCTTTCACTGAAACCCCTTTATCCCATTTGTTCTCTCTGGGGCTGAGTTTGCTATCAGTTTTTAGCAAATGCTTGTCAGTTTCTTGAGTAGCATACATGCCAGCTTCATGAGTAGCATGCTTCTCAGTTTCTGAACCTGTTGGGGCTGAGACAAAGAGTCCTTGAGTCATTGAAGTAATATTCCGGGTTGCATCTGTTCCCGTGGCATTAGCTGGTGCAGGTTTCTTGGCCTTGGTTTCAGCTAATGTAGGTTCCTTTTTTCCTTGTTCAGAAACAGGTTTAACACTGCTTGCCAAAACATGCTTCTCTGAGATTACAGGAACTGCCCTTGGATTCTGCCTTGCATTCTCCTTATATCCCTCAGGTGCCAGCTCCGATTCATACACTGAAAATAATATGTCAGTATGTCACAAGCCAGAGCATTTCACTAAATGTAAGAGGAAGGCAGCTGAAAAGGCATAAGCAAAATTGAGTCAAAACTTTGGAGGCTTAAAAGGTTATAATAGCACTGATGAGATTCATATAAATGCGTTTTAAGCATTGTAAAAAGATTTATAATATTACTTGGAGCACCGAGATATTCAGGATCTTCATCTTCGTAGTCCTCATCTTCCAATCTAACACCCCATGAAGGCGTGGAGTTATCTCCTTCACTATGCTTCTTTTTTATTAGACTATGTCTCCATCTTCGAGCCTTATCCTTGACTTTGGCAATGACAGTTAACTTTTTGGAATGGTACTGGACGTCTTCAGTATCATGGACCTCGTGGCTCCTTGCATATGTGGTTGATGAAGCGTGCGAACGTGGTGACCAGGTTTGAGCTTCCCCAACTGTAATAGAAAGTTATTTAAAACGAAAGTAAATATGATAGAAAATATAATCTTTATTTGCTTTGACTCCAACGAATTGCTAAAGAAATCACTTGTTGAACAGAAATAGTATTCTGAAGATCTTTGGCATGCACTTGAAATTTTTGGATTACCTCGAAGATGTTCAACAGTTGGATTGGTAGTACTTCTAGGATTATCGCCATATTGATGCATGGGATCAAGTTGAGCCATATTCTCCAATTGCAGACTGATCAGGATCTTGAATTTGGTATTGCTTCCGATCTTGAAAGTCTTTCAAAATTAGTGTTGCATTTTAGATTCAATCAAAGAGAGACATTTAAGAGGAAAGAACATTCTTCCGGCATTACTCTCCGGTGTTTTTGCCTGGTCAGTAAACAATTGCCACATAATTTGGTGAAGAACTGAGATGCTTGTGGGCACAAGTGTTACACATGGCAACAAAATAAGGGTAAAATGGCTTTGCTTCCTTTCCTAAAATAGCAATTTGACTAAGCAAGAATCAACTTTCTACCTCTTCTTTAGCCTCTTGTCTAATGGGACTGGAATTTGACAAGAACCATTGCATTCATGTCATGCTTCTACTAACTCCAAGGATGATGCAGTTCCATGCACACTCTCTATGTATTTGAGATTGGAGATGAAAAGAATGATATTTTGGGAAACACAACCTTTTAGATCAGACAGGCTAATATTTTCCAATGTGAATGTAATTTATGCAAATGAATTGTAAGTTATAATATGAGAAATTATTTTAAACCAGCACAAGTTGAAGATAAATTGATCATCAATCTTCATTTTCCCAGTTCTTAACAATTTTATAAACTGTTCAACCGCAAGTTCCGGGGAATTAACATGAACATAACCAGAAATTAAAGTATTCCAACCAATCACATTTCTATCAGGTATTCCATCAAACAGTTTTTGAGCACTAAACATTCCACTGTTTTCACCATACATATCAATAAGAGCGCCTTGAATATAAAGATTTGAAGCGAAACCCATTTTGATAACCGTTGACTGAAGCTGAATGCCGGTATTAAGAGAAGCTGATTTCCCACAAAAAGATATGATTTTGCTGAGAGTCAGAGGGCTTGAGAAAGACCCATGCTGGTGGAACTGACAGAAATGCTCCAAATCAAGTAAATTTAATTGGTTTTCTTTGTAATTGAAGATTTGGGTTTGGCAAGAGAGTGAATTGGGTTGTGGGTTACAAGCATTTTGTATCTTTAACAAGCCGAAAAGGTTGGCTGTGAGAATTTGAGAAATGAACAGAGCAGGCGAGAAAGAAGAGGAAGTTAAACTCGTTGTCACACTGTGATACCTCTTCTGCTTCAAAAGAATTGTTCGTGTTCCGTACATGCTTTTTGTTCGAGGTAAATTGTCGTAGTAAATAACGAAATCCCCATTTTGTGTTATATTTAATGGAAAAATCCCCATACTTTATTACTGTTACTATCAAATCAAGCTAAACAAATTTACCAATATAATTCACTAATTTTCACATAATACTTGCTCCATCCCAACAAATCTCCGAGTAAAAAGAGGGGAAAAAAAAGACCCGGGCGTGTTCCTGACAACTGGAAAGATTGTACATGTGCCAATCTCAAACTGTCAGAAGCGCTCAAGCATGGTTCATGATGGCTACACAACAAGTTCACAACTTGAAACTGAATAGTGAACACCCTCTCCTGTCTGGCCACTTAGGTTCACTCTGATAAACGCTCTTTACTTCAGTCACTCTCATAAAGCTCAATTTCTGAACGCAAATAAGTATCAGTGTCCCCTTATCCCCTGCCCAAACCCACCAGAAAAAATGCATTCTTTCGCTGCCCCATCCCGCATTCTTGCCTCTTCCAGCAATCTCTCCTCTCCCAGACGCCGGCAACTGCCACCTTCTTCGTCCTCTTCCTCACGATCTTCCTCGCGCTCCACCACCATCAAATGCCACCATCCTTCTCAAAACCCTAAACCCCAAAAGCCCACTTCGTTCCTCCATTCCCTCTCCAAGCCCCTTATGCTTGCCTCTGCTTCTGCCGCCACTCTTCTCATCCGCATCGCCCCCATTTCCACCCTTGTCCCTGGAGGCGGTGGAAACAACTTTGGTGGCGGCGGAGGTGGTTCCAGCGGCGGTGATGGAAGCAGTGGCAACTTCTGGGAAAAGCTCTTTTCGCCTTCGCCGGCAATTGTGGACGATAACAACCAAACCCAAGAATGGGATTCTCTTGGATTGCCAGCCAACATAGTGCTTCAACTCAACAAGCTGAGTGGGTTCAAAAAGTACAAGCTTTCAGATATTTTATTCTTCGACCGACAGGAACGGACCACAGTAGGAACTGAAGATTCATTCCTTGAAATGGTTTCGTTGAGACCAGGAGGGATCTACACAAAAACCCAGTTACAAAAAGAGCTTGAAACTTTAGCCACCCGTGGAATGTTTGAGAAAGTTGAAATGGAAGGCAAAACTCTGATACCTCGGCCCAAATAATAATTAACCTAGACTAAGTCTATCAGTTTATTAAATTATTATTTAGTAAAACAAAAAATTTGAAGTATTAGATAAAAGAAAACTTCATAAAACAGAAAAAAAATAAAATTTTTTTCTTTATTTTTTTTAGAATTAGAGAATATAAAAAATTAAGTTGAAGATTCACAATCAGAGATTATAATCAAGTTAATCCCTTAAAAGTGATTACATATCTTCTTTTTATTTAAAAAAATATGAAATTGATTGCTATTATTTGGAGTTGAAGTTTTGAGAGTAAAACAAAAAAAAATCATAAAATCTTTCATTAATCTTCATGATTTATTTGGATAAATTACTGTGCTTTATTTATTTCATGTTCTTAAGATTTATTGATGATTATTGAATGGAGTTTGAAGCCTGAAAGTAAATATTTGAGTTTTTAAAGATTGAAGGAGAAATTCTATTTTTGGATAAAATGTTGTGATTTGTAATAATGAATTAAAATAAAATTTTGTATTAATAGATAAATTATTGCTGTGATTATTATATATCATTGGAAAGCATGTTGAATCTAGTTTCTAATGAAACAAACGAAAGTTAAATCCGAGTTTTTTATGAAGAGTTGTCTAATTTTAACTTAAAGATATACAGGTTGTAAGACAGCAACATCAGGGTTGAATTACGAAATTCTTCTTAATTTGTATAGAAGGATTTACAGATTAAGCCATATATGTTTGGAAAGCTTATTAAGTCTATTTTCCAATGAAACAAGCAGAATTGAATTTGGAGTTTCCTGTAAATAAATATATAATTTTTATTAGAAGGTATACAGGCTGTTTGGCAGTAGTATATGACGTGGATTTCAAAAATTGTTATAATTAATCTACAAGGAATTACGAGGTTTGCCATATATAGTTAGAAAGCTTATCAAGTCTAGTTTCTAATGCATTAAAGAGATCATAATTCCGATTTGGATATATTGAGATATGACTGTTTTAATGAAAAGAGGCCAAGCTGTCAGTATTAATTAGTTAAGTTAACCCTTTTATGTAACTAAGTTGATTTTTGTATAAATGGTCTCAAAAAGGGTTGATTAAATTCTGATCTGTTGAAATGATCTTGGATAGGCCATTAATTATTTTGAAGAAAAAACTAAGTGGTGGAATCGAATTGAGGTAAGTAGAATCTCACACACTTTACCTATTTTTGAATCTATGTATATATGTATGTTTCTAAATGAATAAATGTTTTATTTCTTTATTTTCGATATATAAAAATAGGATCAAGCATATAATTATTTTGTGTTTTCGTTATGTAAATGATGGATCATGCTTATGAATGAAATGAGAAAATGATTTATGTTTAAAGAATGATTTTGTGATAGTTACGTTTTTATATCTCTGGGAAGTGGGATCATCGACACCAGAACTAGTTCTATAACCCTGACTAGCGAGTAATAGTAGTTAGCAAAGACATGATCATACGACCCTGGCTAACGGGTAATAGTAGTTAGCATAAGGCATTGGCTAACGGGTTATAATAGTTAGCAATGATCATGAGGATGAAATTGTCGATACGATTAATGTCATAGGTTATAACAGTGATCGTAGCTAATGATAAACTAATGATAATGATGATTTATGATGATGATGATTTACGATGATTTTTAATGATGATCTATGATTTGGTTTAATTATGATATTTGAATGATAGCATATTTTGTAATGATTTATGAAGTGACATATTTTGACATTGATTTATGAATTTATGAAATATTTAACAAAACGATGATCTTGAAATGTTTTGATATTATGATTTGATGAATGTTTTGAATGATTTATATGATGTGTAAGAAAACGATGCTTGATCTGGTAAGGTATGTGAGCCTATACTTATTGAGCTGTGGTTTGCTCATTCCCCTTTTACTTTTTCTTTACAGATGACTAAGTGATAAGTTTGGTTAGTCTTGTGTGAAGCTAGAAGATGAAATGGGTAAGATTACTTAATCGTCGGAGAATATGTTAGCCAATGAGATTTTAAGAGGCAGTTTTGTATTTTATATAGTTTGTATTTAGATATATGAAGATGTATCATCAGTTGAATTAAATATATGAATTTTATTTTGTAAATTATTTTATTGAAGAATTTTAAAATATTTAAGAAAAAAGTCTTCGTATTACTTTAAAATTTTTTTTAAAATAATATAATCGTATTACGTATTGATCTCGAGATGTGACAAAAATTAACCGAGATGAAACTTTGGGATTTGATCATTTCTTTTACGGAAAGTACTTGGCAATTAGGTGTATAAATGTGGGCTGATGGCTCAATCCAAGCCTATTGAAAGGGACCTGATATGACAGATAAGGAGAAATTTGAGTACTATAGGAACCAAGAGATGGATTATAAGCGGAGGATTGATAGAGCTAGGCCTTGTTTGTTGCCAATGCAAGTACATAGTGAAGTGTTAAATATGTTGGAGAAACAAGGGACAGTGAGTGCTAGGTCGTTGCAGAAGATAAGGGATTGGGTTCAGAAATGGTACCATGATGAAGGGTATGCTTGTGCTCAGGTTGTCAACTTTGGGAACTTGAATACTAGTGAAGTGGTTTGTGAGGTTGTGGAAGGGGATATTACACAGCTTGTGATTCAGTTCCAAGATAAGCTTGGAAATATTGTAGAGGGGAATACCAAGCTTCCTGTTGTCAGGAGAGAGTTGCCTAGACAGGTAGAAGGTTGATGACTGCTTCTTGGTTTTTATTTTCTATTTTTCTATTTAGAATGTCTATGGTGATTTTTGAGCTACTGAGAGACTAACTAACAACCATATTGTGCATTCTGATATTTGATGTTATGGTGTTTGATCGTCAATGCTAGTTAGGGTAGGATTTGATCTTTGGTTCAATCATCAAATTCTTGAAGCATATATTTGATGATTCCTACAGTCAGAAATAGTTGTAAACAATCAGATAAGTTAACTTGATAGTTAGCAGAACATGAAATAGCAGATCTAGTGTAGAAGAGACAAAAAATAAACTATTGGGTGAATATCAAGTAAAGCACTGACTTTGCTGCTTTTGAATCTTACAAACCATAGATTTGCTGATAAGATATATGACTTCATCTCAACCAGTAATGATTGATCTTTGTTGATCGAAATGTTTGGTTTCATACTCCAATGGATGACTGATTGTTAGTTTATACCTTAGTTATAGAGTTGCTAACTATGCCTATTTATTCAGTTTCTCAAATATTGTATTTTTGGTTTTTGATTCAAGTATCTAGTTTCAGTCTTGATGGTGATTAATTGTAGATTTATATCTGTGCTTTTGATTTACAGCTTCGACAAGGCAATGTTTTTAATATTGAAGCTGGGAAACAAGCCTTGAAGAACATAAACTCACTAGCTTTGTTTCCAAATATCAAAGTGAACCCACAACCCGATGAGAAGAATGAGGGAGGCATCATTGTTGAGATAAGGCTTAAAGAGCTGGATCAAAAATCAGCTGAAGTCAGCATGGAGTGGAGTATTGTACCTGGACATGGGGGGCGTCCCACATTGGTATGTAAATCTAGTTATATATTTATACTCTGCGATTCTGCTTATAGATAATAAGAGATCATGGCTTAAACTTAAAACTTATATTGTTTGCATATTGTGCTATGTTTTCTGTTCAGGCTTCATTCCAACCTGGTGGAACTGTCTCTTTTGAGCACCGAAATCTCAAAGGGCTTAAAAGATCCATTCTTGGTTCATTGACCACCAGTAACTTTTTTAATCCTCAGGTAGTTTTCCTAAATAAGCATGTTAGTCCCCCTCTCTCTCATGGTTCATCCAATGAATATTTTCACTAGTGATTAGTGTAAAATTTTCATCCTAAGATATTCCTGTTATTCTTTTCTTCAGGATGACCTTGCTTTCAAGTTCGAATATGTGCATCCATATTTAGATGGTGTTTATAATCCACGCAACCGAACTCTTCACACAAGCTGCTTCAACAGCCGGAAACTGAGCCCAGTTTCCACTGGTGGGCCAGGAGTTGTTGAAGTTCCACCAATATGGGTTGACCGAGCTGGTGTTAAAGCTAACATTACTGAGGTAATCTGCTATATTTAGAAAGTTCCTGAAGTGATTTTTGGATTTTATGTACCGTGGAATCAATTGTGATCGATATGATTCTGGCAGAATTTCACCCGTCAAAGTAAATTCACTTATGGACTTGTGATGGAAGAGATAACAATGCCTGATGAAAGCAGTCATATCTCTCCAAATGGTCAAAGAGTGCTGCCAAGTGGAGGCATCAGTGCAGATGGACCTCCAACCACTCTCAGTGGTACTGGTGTTGATCGAACGGCATTTCTACAGGCAAATATCACACGTGATAATACCAAGTTTGTAAATGGAGCTATAGTTGGTGAGAGGAATGTGTTCCAGGTTAGCCCATATATTTACATTGTGAATCCTTTGACTGAACCAGGGTAGTCTGTCTTTGCTGGTACCGTTCAATATCATTAATGAGGTGAAAACATCGACAGTGTAATGAGCCTTAATATATCAGATTTATTCTAATTTAGATAACAAAGCCATTCTCATTATCTTTTTTAACCATTGTAAATGTGTCAGATCTAGAATAATATCCTCATTATGCTGGCTGTTGGATATTGAAATTCCTTGTTTTGTACATTGTTGAAATAATTCAAATGGATAAGTTTAAGCTTACTCACAAGTGGTCCTATTACTTACTGTAAACCACGTCCTACCTTTAGTTACAGAGTGGTTTATTCATAATCTACTTTTGAATTTGCTTAAAATATTGTTTCCTAGCTAATTGCTGGCATTTATTTACTCAATGCAGGTGGACCAAGGACTTGGCATTGGCAGCAAGTTTCCATTCTTTAACCAACACCAACTAACAATTACACGATTTCTCCAACTAAAGCAAGTGGAAGAAGGTGCTGGCAAACCCCCACCACCTGTTCTAGTCCTTCATGGCCATTATGGAGGTTGTGTGGGCGACCTTCCAAGTTATGATGCTTTTACTCTTGGGGGCCCCTATTCTGTGAGAGGTTATAACATGGGTGAGTTAGGTGCAGCCAGAAACATTCTTGAGGTAAGAATGATTTGAGATACCTGATTTCTTTCCTAATCTTTTGTTTATCTTTTAATGTCATCATTTATGTTGTATTTCATGTTAAAGTGGAAGCTAATAAAGAGGATTCTGATACTAAAAATGCTGTACGAGAATTAATTAACTATAAATTGAATATAATAAGTGCGTGCTTGTGTTTGCGTACATGAAATGACTAAATTTATCTGAAATCCCTTTTATGATGTTACCTGCAGCTTGGAGCCGAGGTTAGAATACCTGTGAGAAATACATATGTTTATGCATTTGCAGAGCATGGGAATGATCTAGGGAGTTCAAAGGATGTAAAGGGGAACCCGACAGAGGTCTACAGGCGAATGGGCCATGGTTCATCAGATGGTGTTGGTGTGAAGCTAGGTCTAGTGAGAGCCGAGTATGCTGTTGACCATAACACTGGAACTAGTGCAGTTTTCTTCCGATTTGGAGAAAGATACTGAAATGTGATTTAGTGTCAAATTTTTTGCTTAATACAGGGTGGCCATTTTGGTTTCTAGTTACTGTTAGAGTTCTTGATCTTACAGATCTTTTGAGATGCATGGAACTAGGTATACTTCTTAATCGGCTTTCTTGTTTCGAATAATTTTTTTACTCTTGTGCTCTATATTTCTATCCTGTTCTGTACAAAGTGACGGATTGCTAGGAAATTATTGGTTCTTGATTATACGTTCTGTACTTCTCAAAGCCCCCTTTTTGCCTGCTATATATCTTCCTAAAGCAAACTCATGAATATTTGTCCTGCCGTGGCATGTTTGCACAATCAAACTCTTATTTATTTATTGCAAGCAAGAATTTAAGCATCAATTTGGGTTGAAACTAAGATTAGCATCCCAGCATTCTTTATGGATGAACATACCAAAATATTTATCCGATGGGTTTTGCAGGAAGTAAACAATTAAGGTTACTCATTTGATAAGCAAAAGGAGAGAGAATATGGGAGGGAAATTAGGCGACTCCAAAGGCCTAATTTGCTTTCAGATTATTAATCAATAAAAAAAATGTATTTGCTTTCAGATTACAATAGGTACAAACCCAACATACAATAACGGTCAACCACTATGTTGCTATCAGCTACCACTTTACCAAGAAAAAGAAGAAAAAAAAAGGGGGGGGGGGAGGAAACGATTTCAAGAAAAGAAGTGGTAACAGTCAGGGAAAAGGCCTGTTTTTTACAATTACTGCAATTAGCAAGTAGCAATCTTTCAATGCTGACTAAAGTAGAAGTACCTTTCCCTTTCTCTGAGCTTCTAAATTGGTAATGAAAACATCGACAGTGTAATGAAAACATCGACAGGGGGGAGGAAACGATTTGAAGAAAAGATGGATATTGCATGTGAACTTCGGATAATTCACTTCCCTGCATGGTAAGCTCACAGAATGGTTGGTCTGTGTCAGGGCAAAATATAAAGCTGCATTTCCATGTTATAAACCTAGTTCCTTTTTCAACTTAGCAAGAGTAGCTTCTATCTCATCAATGTTATCCTCAATGCTGCTACCCTTGTTAGCTTCATTTTGAAAACTGCTTCCTGTTTTCTCTGAAGTACTGAAGTCATCTCTATTTTTTGCTTCAACTTCTTCATCAGCTATATTGAGCTCTTTCTCCAGAAATTCCACAAACTCCTCTCCAATAGCCTGCGCCAAGGTTGAATTCAACTACTTAAGCAAGGCTGTTTATTCTTGATATTAATTAGAGGATCATAGAAGCATGAATTGGTAATCCACATGATTTATCATAAACCAAGCTTGAATTAGTATAATTATGCTCTCCATATATATTGAATCTGCCAAAGACAAAAACATCATACCGCTAATTCCTCCCACAAGCTTTTTGGTTTTTCTTGTGAAGACAAACTTGATTCCCAATTCCGAAATTCTTCTTGAAGGTCTCTAAAGAAGTCCTCTGCAACACAAATCAAAACATGAGCGATAAACAGAAGTTCAATATTACTTGCCATTTAGAGGAAAAAGATAACAGATGCCAGACAAGATTTAGAAATGATGCAAGTTTATCTTATCCTCATAATATCAAGTCTCAATAGAGAGTACAAATCTACCTAGCGTAATTTGAACATCCCTCAAAAAATTACCTGCAGCATAAAGTGTTAAGTATAAGAATAACAAAAACAAACCTAAATCCTAGAAAATTAGAAGAAAACATATAAATTTTTTAGTATCCTTTTGTAGGTAGTTAGATAGTTTTCCCAAAGAGAGATGGTCAGAAAGACAGTTTAAAAGAGTTGAAGGATGACATGGGCAATTATAATAATGTACACAATGCATGGCATGGACCACAAACCTCTGTCAAACGGTCGAGAACATACTGATACGATGATCTTTTAACTAAATAAAATAAAACAAAAAAGGAAAACTTATTCTAAAGGAAATACAAACACTTTAGTGGCTATAAGGGAAGCATCTAGATTAACATGTGTAAACATTGAACATATAATGAATATAACTCTTTATGACTCAGAATAATTAATTTGCATTTTTTAGGCTTATTGTTACCAAATCCATAGAATTCTTCATCTTGGACATTCGTGCTCTGACTTCGTTGAGTTCCAGAGTACGAAAAATCAGATGTGCGGTTGCCATAGTTGTATCTTCTCCGAGATTCAGAGTTCAGCAATATATTATATGCATGCTTAATCCTCATAAATTTCTCCTGTGCATTTGCCTGCATACCAGAATTACTTAATATAACAAAGCCACAAACATAAAACCAAAGCAATAAAGATTAGAAAGGCAAACAAGAAAGGGCGCAGACTTAAAGTATGGAAAATCAATTTAAACAATGTGCATGGATGCTCTCAATTTTCTTAACCACGAACACAGCTAGCTAAACACTTGCAACATTGCTTTCAAGCACTTAAATAGTCTTAACCATAAGACATGCTGTTTGGCAAAGCCAATATCTTCCCAAAGCTAAGGATTTTCTTGTTCCCTGGAGACAGCCATTGTTTTATGTGTTAAATCTGAAACCCTGCACTAAGGGATCTCTCACATTCGCGTGTTCCAAATTAGAATAAGAGATGAATAATAGGAAGACAAAGGACGTGTTAAGAAGATTGTTAAACAACTGTGATGAGAATATAGAAGCTTGAGAAACATAATACATGACATGCAGTCTTGCTATGACATCCTTTCTTCCATTAGGAAATCTTTTACCCCAAAGGAAGAAGGGAGGATAACAATCAAATGATAGTAGAAGATCTTATCAAACTCTAAGCGGAACCCAGCTACAGAAACAGATCTCCAATGATTTCTTCAATATTGCAAACATGTAAGCAAATAACTCAATAAACCTTCCCCAAAATTCACTTCATCCCTCCCTCTCCACCACCTAATACTAGGCAGGACAGAAACCACCATTTAGTGGGTGCGTGCAAGGGACAACAGGGTCAAGCCGTTCACCAAATTGTTGCAAAGTTAAAAACTCATTAATAAAAAAAGCGATAATGGATATTTTATAGTCACAGAATTACCTCTTTGTTGACATCAGGGTGATACTTCAGAGCAAGTTTCCTATAAGCCCTTTTAATTTCATCAGGTGTCGCAGAAGGAGAAACACCCAAAACTTCATAAGGAGACTCTCTCCAACTCGCTCTCAAAAGGGTAACACCATTTCTCTTCTTGTAATACCTGAATACAACTGGTGCAAATGGTCTTGAGGCAAAACCAAAGCCAAAACCACCTCTTTGGCAATATCTGAATCTGGGAATTGATAAATTTGTTTGCTTTTGAAGAATAAGGAACGATGTTGAAGAGAAATGAGGGATAAAGAGAAGGGTATCGGGTGTTAAAGAACGAACAAATCCATGCATATTCATGAATTACCCTCTTCTATAGTATCTCTGATGTTCATAAAAATTGGATTTTTGGATGTAAAAACTCTTGCTTTGGCTCTGAAATTGGGGTTGTAGGGGAAATTGTGGTGGAAGATGGATTATGTGAAGGTGGGCCACGGCTTGTGGTGATAATATCAACGGTTCAAAACCGTGGCCAGCTTAGAGAGTAACAAATAAAACCCTAAATACCAAAATACCCCATTTATCCATATTTTTTGTCCTAAAAATAAAGTCTGGTTCTTGTATTTACCAGACACAAATTTGCCGGCCATGGCTTCAATTTCGGATATTGGTTTGTACAAGTACAAGGCCTTCTTTTTGTCCTTTGCTTGGTCTGGGAAAGATCAGGCTTTTCTTCAAAGATGTAGCATTCCAGTAACGCGGGTGTCTAGTGAACAAATTTTGTTCAAGAATGAATGCTTGGTATTTGATCAAATGCCTAAAAGAATTGGTGCGTCAACATATAATCATGAAACTAGAATGGTAGAAAATGGTGATTTAGCAAGATATGTGTTGGAGATTAGTCATTTGATTAGTGTTTTAAAGTTTTGTGGTGGTGAAGGATGTTTAGAACTTGGAAGAAGTTACCATGCTTTGATAGCAAAGACTGGACTTGATGGGGATGAGTTTGTGGGTACTAGCCTTATTGATATGTATGCTAAATGTGGAGATTTGGATAGTGCTGTTTTGATATTTAATCAGATGCCTCGTTTAGACGTTGCTTCCTGTAATTGTTTGATTTCTGGTTATGCTAGCTGTGGATTATTTGATGAAACCTTTAGGTTCTTCATGAAGTATGATAGCTTTGGTAACATACCTAATCCTTATACATACTCAACTATGTTAGCAAGTTGTGGTACCCTTTCAGCTATCGAAGAAGGAAAACAGCTTCATGCGCAAGTTGTGAAGATGCAGTATTTACCGGAAACAGCTGTGAGTAATGCACTTTTGACAATGTATAGCAAGTGTGGGGTTATGGAGGATGCTGAAACAGTGTTTAAATGTCTTCCACGAAGGAACATCATTTCATGGACTGCTATTATTAATGGATTATACCGGCATGAGGACTTTGACAAAGCTATGAGGCTGTTCTCCTTGATGAGAGAGAGTGGGATTGAACCAAATGAATACACATTTACAATTGCTCTTGCATCTTGTGGAAGTATGAAGAATCTTGATAATAGTCATTTGCTTCATGCTTTAGTTATTAAGAAGGGGATGGCTTTGGGTGAATTTGTAGGGACGGCAATTATAGATATGTACTCTGAGCTTGGAGAAATGGATGATGCTGAAAAACAGCTCAAGGTGATGGGAATTTTGGCCTCTAAGGTATCATGGAATGCACTAACCAAAGGGTTTGTTCAGAATGAGAAAGCCAATGAGGCTTTGGATGCTTTTGGTGAAATGGTAAGAAAAGATGCTGCATGTGATGAGTTTACATTTTCCATCATTCTGAAAGCTTGTGCTTCCTTGCCATCATTCACAAGTTGCCAGCAGATACATGCTCGGATAGTGAAAGCTAACTTTGACTCAAACACGCATGTGGGTAGCTCATTGTTAGAAGCTTATACTAAATGTGGAAGTATAGAAGATGCCGAGCGAGTTTTCAGTCGGATTTCAGCACCAGATGTTGTATCATGGAACTCACTGATCAAAGCTTACTCGCAGAATGGCAATCCAGGAAGGGCTATATCACTGTTTAGGAGGATGATTGACAAAGGATTTAGACCAACTGTTTCTACTCTCCTTGCTGTTCTTTCTGCATGTAGCCACTCCGGCGAAATCCAAGAAGGCCAAGAAATATTTCAATCAATGGTAAGAGAATTTGGTATCTTACCAGAAGAAGCACATTATAGTTGCATGGTGGACTTACTGGGAAGATCTGGACAACTGGACAAAGCACTAGATTTCATAAACAACTTGCCCGTCAAACCTACGGCTTCAATATGGAAACCTCTACTTGCTGCTTGCCGGTGCCACAAAAATCTCCAAATGGCTGAATTTGTTGCAAAGCACATACTAGCTATGGACCCAAATGATGCAACAGTGTATGTTACGCTCTCAAATATGTATGCTGAAGCAGGACAACTGGTCAATGCAGAAAACCAGAGAAATCTGATGAAACTAAAGGAGGTTACAAAAGAACCAGGATGTAGTTGGATAGAAGTGAACAGTAAGATACACAAATTCTTTTCGCGTGATAGAACACACCCCGAATCCGCAAAAATATACAACAAGTTGAAGCAAGTAATGATGCAAATAACAGGCAAGGCATATACTACTAATGCAAATCAACTGCAGCAGAAGGAAGATTCTTGTTTATTCCACAGTGAAAAACTTGCAGTTTGCTTTGGCCTTATAAGCTTGCCAGCAGGAAAGCCAGTCAGAATTTTCAAGAACCTCAGAGTTTGCACTGATTGTCATATGTTTATGAAGTATGCATCTTTGATTACAGACAGAATTATAGTATTAAGTGACAATTATAGGTTTCATCACTTTAACAAAGGTTGTTGTTCATGTGGAGATTACTGGTAATGTAAACTTTCTGAGAGCATTGGCATTGCTTCATTGCCTGCTCAGTTGCTCCTACTTCAGTTCATCCAAGTCAAAGGGCTATTATCAAGATCAAACGGCTCATATCAATCAGAGTTTGCATACCTCGTGGTGGGTCGCACTTAACATCTAAGTAAGCATAATCAATGTCTAAGATTTGTCTGGTCATTCTAAGTTTAGTTTTGAGATAATACTACCCAAGTGGGGCACCTAATGAAACTAATGAAGATGAAGAAGAAAAGGAAGCTGAGAAAATTTCTAGGATGCAGTTGGATAGAAGGTTCCTGAATGATTCATAAGCATTGATTTAGTAGAAAGTCTTGTATTTGCGCTGACAGTGATTGGTATTCCTCATGCTCTGTATTATGGTTTTCTCAAGCTCAATTGGGCGGCTCCCTTAATACTTGTTTGGCTTTGGGAATTGGATTTACAGCCCAGTCTTGCCTTGCATTCTCATGAAAGGATGATTGGAAGCTACATTTTGGTTTGAAAAATCCAAAGTGCTATGATTTGAGTTGCTCTTCATTGGAATCTACCCTGTACATACTGCAACCAGCTGCTACATTTACTTGAAAAAGCTTGATATTGCCAAAAGCTAAGAACTTCTGGATGAAGTTCGAAGATTCTCAAAACTCCCCCACAGCCCCACCAAAAAAAAAGGAAACATAAAGTTATTCGGCTTAATGAATCCATCATCCAGACGATTGGAGGGGACCATACCACGTTATATGCCAGAAACTGTTAGGGCCACGGCATAGGAATGTTGATCGGAAGATGATGCAAAGACAATCCAGTGGAACTTTTCGGAGAGGCACTAGCTGAAAAGGTCAAAAGACCAACAAAAATTGAACAGATGGTAGCCTTGCTGCATATAGTTCTGATTTCGAGGCTCTCAAATTGAGAAATTTTTTAGCTCCTTTGTGTCAAAACTTACATTCCACATGTAATTGTAACTATATTACTTGGGCATACAATTTTGCTTGAGCATTAAAAGGAATCCAGATCCCTAACATTCACCTTCACATGTGAGGCCAGAAACAAAATATTCCATAATTCCTTGTTTTGTGGTTGACGAAGCTGACGTTCAATGACCTTACAAATATTTGGATAAGCGCTCAGATGCCCATACCGTGGAATAAAGTGCGAGAAATCTCAAACCAACAAAATTACACAAGACAATAGAATAAAGAACCCCAGATCGATTTGTTAATTTCTTCCCTGATAACCTCAAGCTTTCCAATGATTGGGAACTTGGCGAGCTACCATTGCCCTTATCTAAAGGTCAATTTTCTGACGTGGCAGTTCTGCTGATGAGTTATATCCAATAACAAGCAAGATTAATGATGCGTGATGGACCTTTGCTTAGCGTTTTTATTCACTTTTGTTCCGTGGCCAAAAAAGACAGTTTAATATATTCAATAATACACAAGTTAATGGCAATTACCAATTCAATAACAATAATGTAGTTTCTGGGACTTGCCTAATCTAAGGTAGAGGATGAGTGAACAGCTAGAGTACTTGCTGCACCAATCAGGTAATAAGCTAGCTAGAAGATGTAATATATACGTAGAAAACTTGTCCACTATTTCAGTAGATCAAGAAAGCAATCCACCGAGAGGTTTGTTCTTATCTCTTTGCCATGTTCATTCAAGTCTCATTCATATCTGGAATACTCCATCGAAATATGGTTAAATACTTCATACGCAACCATCTGTCTGTCAAAAACCATGAGAATCCAGCTATTTCAGAGAGTCAAGTGAACACCAAGTTGATCAAAAATTTATGAATCTACAAAAGAATAATAATCCATGATTGATATAGTAATGCAAAGATGTAATTGAAATTCTGAAAACAGAAGAAGGAAATCAAAATCAGCAAACATTAAAAAAATATTAAATCAAAGCTCTCTAAACAGTCTTAGAAACAGTCTTTCTAAGATACAAGGAAAGATTATGGTTTTACCACCAGCATAATCAATAGGAACCTGAAGCAAAACCACTTCAACTAAAGGTTACGAACCAGTCCGGCTACATTAACTAATACCGTGACTGCAAAGAATGGGGGAAAAAAGAGAAGGAAAGAGGGAAGCAAATGTATGTGAAAAGAAGAAAATAGATAAGATTGATTTTGCAATTCAAAAGGTAAATGAAGCAGACGGTTGTGTTCAAAGGTACATATATAAGGATAAATAAATATAGAAACAACATGTGAGAAATATATAATCACTCAAAGCTGCATAAAGTTAGAAGCCAATAGCTCAAACATAGTGCTGAGGCACGTACAAGCCCCAATAGACATAGGGGGTAAAACTACCACGATAACCATCTATTCATTTTCTGAAAATAAATTGCTTACCAAGTCATAGTCTAGACAATCAGTTAAGTAATTCTGTGTGCAAAGAAGGCATCAATCATAATCAAGTAAACATGCTACAGTAACCTAAAAACAATAATGATTCCTCTTCTTCTAGATGAGTACAAATACGAAATTATTGCCTCTTAATCCTGTTTAAATCATATTGTCACATCCATTTCTGCTAATAACAAAATAATCTAAGATCAATCGCTTTCCATTCCATTCTAAACCCCAAAAACACCCAAGCAAGTTCAGAACCAACAGTATTATATACCACTGTTTATCTCAAGATTACTGAACTTGGAAGAACCAATTTTTTCAAGCAAATTAGCATGCTACAATTCAATTTTCAACAAAAGGAAGTTCCTTTGATAACAAAAATTCAAACTTTTCAACAAAAACCAGATTATAACTAACAGTCAACCAATCAATAAAGCTGAAAATTCATATTATAAAAATGATAAAGAAAGTAAACAACTGACCTTTGTACAAAAATCCAGCTAATTTAACTTATCGTTGGGAGCCATATGGTGGGGATACGACACTACTGAAGTATATTTATTCCCACCAGACCAATCTGTCTGCTGCATCATCCCATACGAATTCGCTTCATACCCATTCTGGTGATGATGATGATGATACCCTACTTGATGCATCCCCACATGTCCATACATCGGCATCGGTACCGGCATCATCGGTGCCCCATAAGGCATCGGGATAGCCGTCCCCACATGCCCATTGCCATTCGCACTACCACCACCAACACCACTTCCTCCACCGCCGCTTCCACCCTCATGGAGACTCTGCGGTACTGGCGTTGATGCAAACAGCTGATCGGAAGCCGATGGGCCTTCGTTGCTTAAGCCTTGCATTCTTTTCAAGTAAAGCCGATATTTTTGCAAATGACTAGCGACGTTCTCACGGGTCAAGCCTTCGACGTTCATTAAGTGCATGATCGTTTTGGGAACCGCGTTTTTGATCCCTAAATGGGCCACCACATCGACGAATCTCTTATGCAGTTGCGGTGTCCACACTAAACGCGGTCGTTTCAATGTCCTCGCAGATGGATCGTCCGAATTCTCCGTTGTCCTAACTGCTGAATCCGCTTCCTCTGCAATATCCATCCTCTTCGTCTTCTTCGGTTCGGATCCGGAGCCCGACCCCGAACCGTCCCCTTCCGGTTCAACTACCATCGGGTCATTAAAAGAACAGAAATTGTTATTAGTGTTATTGCTGTTGTTATTGTTATTGGTGGTGGAGGAGTGGGCTCCGGTGGAGCGGAGGGAGGAGATGGTATTGTGAGAAGCGAGGTTAACATCAAAAGCGCTCCGACGAGGCTCCGGCGAGATGCTAAAAGCAGAGGCCAGTTCCGGTGGGATTAAGGATTGAGATAACGGAGTTAAATCATCGCAATTAGGTAATCCCATCTCCCATTCGAGAACTCTTTCGTCAACATCATCATCGTCGTCAATAACGGTGGCAGCAGCGGTTGCGGTGACTTCTTTATCGTCTCCGCCTTTAGTTTCAAATTCACTCACCTTCGCTTCTTCTCCCATATTTAATCTTTTCGGCCTTCAAATTAGGGATTTTTTTATTTTTTGAAAGATTTTTCGGAGATTGCTGTTTGGATCGGAAAGAAAGAGTAAGAATTGAAGAGATTTTCTGATATTTGCGTGAAAATCTGGGGGCCGTTTGGAGGAAAGGAAAACGAAATTCGCTTTCTTTTTTTTGAGAGAAAAGAAGGGAAAAAAGAAGAGAAAAAAGTGCAATATCTGATTCCAGATCGGTCTAGCAGTAGTGCCAACGTGGACGACTTAGCCAGATATTTTTGATCCGCCAAATATCTCTGGCTCCGAAATATCAAAATCAGGATTTCTCCAATTAGGTTTTGCCACGTACGTGATTTGTGGGTCGTACGGATGGAACCTGTCGTGTTGGATAGTCGGTGACGGTGGATTTTATTACCGAAATGGACATGGTTGTGTTGGAAGAGAGGGGGCCAAGTAAGCAAAGCACGTGCACTTTTGAGGGTGTTTTTGGAAACATGGGGATTGCAATTTTTAGGACGGTTTTGCCCATTGGTCCTTTTATTAAGCCGACCAACCAATAAGAAAAGAGAATGTTGGTGAACAGCTGGGAGGAGAGACGTCGACGAATAAGGGTTGGACATCGTGGAAGATCGTAGAACGTTGGATGGGAAAGTATGAACGATCAATGGTGGATGATCATATGAGTGGAGCCTTGGCTTACCCACTTCTGAGACCAATATTTAGTATTTAAGAACACATGAAAAAGACCAAAGTGGATGCTACTATACATATATTATCTTCCTTCCATTCATTCAAGGAAATGCTAAAAACTTTAAAATATATATATATTTTTTGCATGAAACATTAAATTTTTATTTTTTTTTAAATATTTACAATTTACACACACATTGACATAATGTCTTTTGATTTCAATTTATTATGGATTTTATTAATAGAGTGTTTTAAAAATATTTTTAAAATTAATTAATTATAATACTAGATTAATATGTTAATTATTAATGTTTTGAAAGAAAATATTATTCTATGTGATAATTTTAAAACGTGTATTTAAAACATTGGTTACAAAATTTATTAATTATTTAATAATGTTGTTGATGTAACTTTTGATCAAATAGAAAAGAAGTTTGTTAGAAGTTAAAAATGGTGAATGTTAGGTATGATATGTCTCAAAGAAAAAAAATCGAAGACATCTAAATAATATTTAAAAATATATTTTGATGTTTAAATTAGTAAAATATATTAAATAAAAAAATAAAAAAAAAGAGCTGGAGAATAATAAAGACAAAAAAATTTTGTCATGATTTTTCTACTTTCTTAATTTGATTTTACTTTTTTATATTTTATAAATGATAATATAATTAATTGAATTGTAAATGTTAAACTTATTGAGATACACTGCTAAGGTAATTATTGAGTTATATAACAAACTATAATTTTTAAAAAGAACTTATATTTAATACCTTAATTGGATGCAATATGATATATTATTTAATCAAAGATTGGGTTTTTAGTCATGCTTAAATAAATTGTAAGGCTATCCACTTGCACTCAATTAAATATTTTTAAATTTGTCCCATCAAGACAATAAAATGGAAACATCTCAATTGAAGACTGTAGGTAAAAGAAAGTCAATTAGTCACATAAAACAGGAAGAAATCCAAGACTCCAACTGGGCTATTTAGAATCCAACTGCTCTGACCAACAGCCAATGCCATCGGATTTAGCCCAATTGGATAGCCAGAAAATCCCATGACCCAAGAGCCAACTTTCTTCACCATAAACTAAAATACTGCCATTTTATCTTTAACCCGGCGCCACTGGCAGCTTCGGCCACGGTTGAAGAGAGCGAGCTAGGAAGAAGAAAGTGTTGGTGGTGGTGGTGGCTGGCTGCAACCTAGTTGCTCATCAACTATGGCTACCAACATACCCATATCTCTACCGAGCCTACAGCCTTCCCCTTCCTTTTCCAAGTCAAGATCTCACTTTTCTCAAAACTCCCATAACTCATCTCTAGCCTTCGGCTCTCTCTCCTTATCAACATCAAGAAAAGCCATCCATTTCCGCCTTCCATTTGAGTTAAATCATCAGAATAAAAGCAACAAACTTTGGATAACGTTTGCTACTCCTGAAGAGGTTCTGCCATCAGATTCCACCCCACTTGACAATTCCGAGCAGATTGTGTCCACTACTGGTGACGAGGGTGTGGCAATAATTATACAAGTTCTACTCTTTGTTGCCTTTGTTGCTCTAATTATTCTCACCATTGGGGTAACATTACTTCTCAAAAAATTGCTACTTTTTTCTTCCTTTTTCCTAAATTGACTTAAATTTGTGATTTTGAACTATGGGTTGTCTCTGAATTGGAGTGCTTTGAATTGGGTTCCAGGTTATATACATAGGGGTGCAAGATTTCTTAGAGAAGAGGGAGAGAGAGAAGTTTGAAAAAGAAGAGGCTTCCAACGAGAAGAAAGGAAAGAAGAAGAAGAAGGTTAAAACCAGAGATGGGCCTAGGGGATTTGGTCAAAAGATTGATGAAGATGATGATGTTTGATGTTGGTTAGAGAGCAAAATCTTCCTTGCAAGCTCATTTTCATTGTGACTGCAAAATTTTGCTTTTATTTTATGGAGGACCTGGTGTAGGCAAATTCTTTTTTTTTGTCAGTAATCCACTAAAAATCTTGTCCACTGCTTCTGCTTTTCATGTAACAAATGTAGCATCTACAGCTTTCTAAATTAAATTCCATTGAAGGATTTATGTGGGGAAGAAGCATTTTGGAATGACTAAACTACTCCCAGATTCCCAAACGATCTTTTAGTCAGAAAAAGTCGAGAATTCCAAAATGACAGTAAAATGTTTAACGGAAACTAATGCTGATAATAAGAATATGTTCATCTCAATTTAAAGAGTAAAAAATTTTTCCCTCAAAGATTTCTGTCTCCACCTCTTTGTTCTTATCAAGTTCATAGTCTCCTTGATGCAATTCCCGGAACCGAATGAATAATTAGCTCCTCAATTGCACCATGATCAATATTTTTTCCTGAGCTTGAAATTTGTGTTCCACTACCTTTAAAAACGACCAGGTTTTGCAGCTGCTTCAAAGGCAAATGTTGCTTGCACTAATGGCACAGCTTCTTGACAGTACTCGCTCAATTTAGTTACTGCATTTTGATTTATGTCTGCCATTGTCGAAGCATCTTTAAGACATTTGTAGGAACTTTCATTGGCTTAAGCAAACTGGTATCGAATAATCGTCTTGGATACAGATCTGCACTTTTTATACAAAGGGCGGAAGGAAGAACAAGTTTTTCCTTGGGCACTTTTCATGTCCAAAAATTATAGTATCAAACCAGTTCAAAACCAGTAATGCTACTTTTTACTTCTTTGAAAGTTCTTGCCAAGCAAATACCTGTTACCAGAAGCTAAGGCTAAAAATTAACTTGCTTCAAAGTCATGGTTATACCAGAAAGATCAAGTTTAAACATTTTCTCAAAACTTGAATGTAAAGAGGTTTAAAAAATCCTTGTATCAAGTATAATTCAAGGCAAGCCAAAATTTAACCATTCTTTATCACATAATAAATGATATAACAGCCTTGACCATCTAATTGTTTATCATTTGGAAGGAAATCATCTGATGAAAGAAAATGAAACCATCAAATAAACCATTAAACCAACAAAGATAGATAGACATAAAGAGGCTGATAGCAAAAGAAAACTGGCATTTAGGGGGAAAAGGGAAAATGTCATTAAACATACATTGAGAAGAAAAAAATCCGGCCTCACCTAAAAATCAACAGCTCTCCACATGCCAACATTTGTACAGTCGCGTTATCATATAAACTACCTCACCATTTTAAATTTTTACACCCTTGGAAACTTGTATAATCATTTATCTCCTCTGCAGGGGCATGAGTTGTATTGAACAGCTGAACCTCAGCTTTTGCTCAATTCTATGTATAAACCTTAAGCTACACAATGTACAGTTTTCGATACAAGCAACAACTTTATTTCCATACAGCTCCTACCTGTCTAAAAAGATAGGTAGAACCATAGCTCTAGATACGGGGAAGAAAGGAAGAGGGGAACCTAAGCTCACATAGCTTCTGTTAGCTGTACAAACACATTCTTTCCTACACCAACTAAGCAGGGTGTGGAGACTGAGCAGCAATTCTCCTCTCTGAAAAGAATGCAAAATCAAATTCAACATATGGAAAACTTACTATGATAATAAGGATCAAATTCAAATAGATAACAAAGAACAGTAGCACTATCGTTTAACATCCACTAATAGGTGGAGCCATATGCCTGCTTTAGCTTAAACTCCTATGGTTTCATGATCATAATTATTAACTAACAGCACATTCTCAGATCATCAAATGTCCTTAAAAAGGTTTTCTTAAATAAAAAACTGAATTGCAGCTTGAGAAAAAACAAATAATAAGCAACTAAAATTTTGATTCTGTTTATAAATACTTGTCAGAGAGTGTCAGGATATTGCCTTTCATTTTTTTTTTTTTCAGTAGGCATCAATGCAACAACAGATATGCTGTTATGAGCCGGTTAGTTCACTTTCTAAAACACACAATCCAATGTAGACGCAAAGTTCAGGGGAAATTACAAAGACTTTGCCTAGATAAGCGAATCTATTGCTAATGCAGAAAGTTTAGGTTTGGCAGTGCCCAAGGAGCTTTAAAGGCAACTTCAGCGAAAGAGACTTGAAAACATTTAAAAGTGATGCTATACTCCTTAGGACTTATAAATATAAACTAATAAGCAACCATTAAAGACAAGAATCAGTACCCCCAGCAGCAACAAGTTTCTCTACACGAGCAACAATATGTTTTCCATAAGTGTACTTCTTCAATGCATTTAAATGGACCTTAATTCGAGAAAGGATCAACTCGCGTTGCTGGTCATCACAAGTCTCTAGTACTTTCTGTACAACATAGTTCGCAAACTGATCCTTCATCATTGCCTGGGATGGACTGTCAGATGTCAGTAAAAATGAAATGGATGACATGAAATTCTACAAAAACTATTTCTAGAGACAATTAACAAAAGCTAAATCCTCAATACCGTGCAGTCAATTTTAAGAAGACTATTCAGTTCACAGTCACACTCATAATAACCTGAGACACCAGTGTGGTCTGATATGCAAAAGTCTAGAGTTTTCATAAACTTAGCAGCATTCCCAACTGCATGAAAGTTTATCTCTCAAGCAACATACAAACCCAGATTACAATATGAATGTGTGCATAGTTCTCAACAAGGAAGATTACCATACTCAGCCAAACCAGGCACAAATAAAGATGGTCATGGATCATGGCTTTTCTTCAATGATTTACAAACCAGGTGAAGTTATTTTGGACATTTTTTTCCAAACACGATGACATTAAATCAGAAAGTATTTCAATTCAAAGTTAAAAATCAGCACAAAAAATTGGACAAACCTGAAGAGGCTCATTCTCATCGTTAGAACCAAGCATTTCATTCACCAATAATTGTCGTTCAGTGGCACCACCAAAAGTTAAGCACTTCTCAACAACATTAGAGGCAAACTTCTGCTGACTCATCTGGACAATCTTTCCAGCTAACTCCTTAATTATAACCGAGCGCTCATGAGGCTTTCCACGCTCCAATACGTGCTGTTAAGTGAATGAAATAGGTCAGTTCATGCGTCTGAGTGGTACAAGAAATACCATGGAGATGCCTAATGATAAAAAGAAACACATTTCAAAGCTACACTGTAAAAAGAAAACAAATACCACAAAAACTTAGAACAGTATATTAATAGACATAAAGGCAGAAGAGTGAAGACCCTCTAGCAGATTTGGTTAATTACTTTTGCCCCAACAGATCCTACATACAAACTATAAGTTCCAGAAAAGAATGACAAACCTGGACCACATAATTGCCATACTGATCTTGGGCCAACATGCTAACAGATCCTAAAATCTCGTCCATAACCTTACTCTGGGTTTTTGAGTCCTTGCAGTGCTCCAGTATTCTCTGCAGTGTTAAAATAAAAATCAATACAGAATGCATAGCTCATTCTTAACATAGAACAGCTCCAAAGCTCAAAATAAAAGCACAAAGACAAGTTCTGAACCTGTATCACTCGGCACCCATATGGATGAGTGGAAAGGGTCACAACTTGATCAAAAAAAGTTGTAACTATAAATTGAATGTTTTCCTCAGGAACACATTCAATACACTTCTGGATGACATGGTTGCCATTCTGATCACGTACACAACGCAAAACACTACCATCAAGCTCCTGAACCATTTTAATCTTCTGATCCAGATCAACAACCTCTATGACCTTGAATGTTAAACAAAGCATATACATAATTGTCAGAATGCTGGACAGTATTCTTCGGATAACATTCGAATAGCACGAGTGCTTTTGGGAAATCTATATAAAAGCCAAGACAAGGCAATGACAAGTTAAGCACTATTACCATGATTGAAGCATACATAGCACATATTTACAAAATAAACATATACAAAGACTTGTACAGTTTTATTTGAGATGGAAAATATAACTCGACCACATTAATGACACTTTTTCACTTAATCAATTACAAATTTGTGTTGATCTCATTAAAAAGAAACTCATATGTTGTAAAGGAACTGCAAAATAATTATGAGGAATAGTTTGATAAATGAAAAGAATAAGCAGAAGTTGTTCAACATGCAACTTAATGATTATGAGCAAACCAAACAGAAGAAAAACAACAAATAAAGTCTAGAAGAATAGCAACAATCTTCGAATACCTTCTGGATCACCCGACAACCATACATTTGAAGACTAAGTGTTAAAACATGACCAAAAAGCTTGCCAGCAAGTTCTCTTCTCTGTGCTGGAAGTCCATGCTCAAAAAACTGTAAGAATATACAGATTTTACTTGGTAAATACAATAAATCATAAATGATACAACTAAGCAGATGTGCAACAGATTAAGAAGCATATACCTTTTGAATGACATAATTACCAAACACATCAGTCATCAAAGCAAGAGCTTGAGGCATGATTTCCTCATAAACCATATTTTTCTCTTCAGTTGTAGCTGTTTCAAGTTTTTGCTGAATAAATCGGCTGCCATACTGATCCGCGCTGCTCATAAAAAACATAGAAATGTCAGGGTAACAGCATGACAACATAAAACTTGATTTTAAGATAAGAGCATGCCTGAACTCAACAACATGACCAGCAATTTCTGAAAGTTCAAAGCACTTTGTTTTATTGCTCTTAAACTCTTCAAGTAGGGAGGAGGCAAAGCTTTCATCCATGTTACATCCTGCATCCAAATGCCAGGGTCCCATGACACCCCCAGCTAGATTCCTCATCCCAGAAGGGAAATGCATATTCAAGTCAGTGTGTCTGATAGGACTACCGGATCCAACTGGAGAGTTTGGAATAACAGGACTTGCTAAGGGGCTTCCGGGATATGACATGACAGGTCCAAAGGTGGGATTTCCATAAAAACCATGTGAACTACCAGATTTAGCACCCAATGGAACACCAAACTGAGATTTCTGAGGTGATAGCATAGCTCCTAGATAAGCTTTTTGTAGTTCAAGTAAGTTCATATATGAATTACCTAGGAAGTTCCTATCCACAGAGGGATCATTAAGTGCTGCAAGCTGCACTGCAGCATAATCAGATGTCCTCAGATACTGAAGATACATAGGATCAACAAAAGGTGCCTGCAAAGCATTCCCAGCTATTTGGCTTCCGACTCTACTAAGATTATGTGACTCAGATGCAGCAT